ATTCTAGAAGAGATATTTGGTGTCGGGACATGATTAGATATCTCTCTCTCGGGGAACTGGCTTTTCCAATGTCGCTATCCTTTATGGTTCGGAGTTCAGACGAGAGATTGGTGTCGACAAAGTTTTTGATACCTTCCCGAATAATATCGTATTTCCATTAGAAATAGGAGAGAGAAGTGAATCTATATTCGGCATTGTGTTGAATCATGGAGTGCTTAAATATCTTAGCCTATGGCGTGATCATTTTTCTCTTATTTTGAGACTGCGCAACTCATCTTAAGCCGGATCCACAAGATGGGACACTCTGCTTTGTCCGCAAAGACCGAGCTCATACGGCTGACTTATTCTTGGCCTAAAGCCGCTGGTCACGATATGCTAAATCCCATTGTGAGACCGATGCCGCACCTAGTTATTTTCTCGGGTTGTTTATTCTCGGGCGGCAGGGATCAGCCTGTTGTGGCGCATCCACCAGTCTTAAGCAGCAGGGTTTGATGCAAACCCAAGTCAAAGCAAATCCATAAGGAAGCGGTTGGTGGGTAATGTAATAAGGAAGAGCGGTAACGCTCTGCTGCATGCTATATGAGAGAGATGGTTCAGGTTTGCAATATCATAGCACTTAATTTCATTGTCCATATAGTAGCCTATCTCGGGCGGTATCAGTCTCTCTTTTCCATAAAGAAGCCTCTTATTCATCACTTGACTTCTCGATTTTACCTCGTAGGTAGGATCAGTGAATAATTTTCGGTTTCACGGCGACAGGGATCAGGGACAATGGCAGCTTTGCGCGCATTTTTATATCACCCAATTCCCAGCTTAAAGCCGCACTGTCCAACGAGTTACGAGCGATGGCTGGTGAATCAGTACCACTAAACAAGCTGTCAGTGGCTACACTTTCCTGAATGAGCAGTTGATGTCATGGATGATCCGCGACTTGGGTCCGGTTTCTGTCCGGCTTGCCCATTGAGGAAATCGTAAGCATCGTGAGTGTCAGACGGAAGTGTTCCCCACATCAACAATGGCATGTTTACAGTTAACCTCTTCCCCAGTCAAGCTTGGTTGAATCCGGGGCCCTTGGAGATGGGGAAATGACGTTGTCTCGCTCCACGTGTTTTGATTCGTATAGAGACGGTTGTGTTCAAGACCTGACTCAATGAACACGCAGCCCCGCTTTGGACAAGTATATAAATGCCTGCAAAGCTGCAATCATTGGATTCATAGTTTGAAGTAAGTCAAATGAGACATTGAAATATACCAGCCGCAGCCATGAGAACCTGGTTTGGTCGCGGCAAGAAGCTGCAGCTCGCAGTCACATCTTGTTGTCTGTGCGCTTTCATCCTGTATGGTGAGTTGATCCCGAGGTTATGGACTTGGTTGCTGGACGCTTGGTAACGAGTAGAATCACGTCGGTATGCTGACAATTCACTCATCAGGATACGATCAGGGTGTTTTTGGTGGCATCCTTGAGAATGAGGACTGGCTCGAGCAATTCGGCCGTCCCGGCGACACGTTGACGGGATTCATCACCTCAAGCTACAATCTTGGCTGTTTGATTGGTTGCTTTGCCAACTTCGTGGTGGGAGAAAAGCTCGGTCGTCGCCGAACGATCTGGCTTGCCATGGTATGGATCCTCATCGGTGCTGCACTGCAAGCCACAGCTTTCAACCGTGGCCATCTGATTGCTGGACGGATCATCACCGGTGTCGGAACTGGCCTCAAGACATCCACAGTCCCAATGTACCAGTCCGAGTTATGCGAGGGCAAGAAACGTGGACGTCTTGTTTCCGCAGAGGTCATGTTCGTCGGCATTGGAATTGCGTTCGCATACTGGTGGGACTTCGCGTTCAGCTACGTTGGTGGCCCGTTTGCATGGCGGTGGCCACTTGCCTTCCAGGCCGTATTTGCTATTTTTGTCATCTTTGTCGTGTTCGGAATTCCGGAATCGCCGCGATGGCTTCTCAACCATGGCGACAGAGACGAGGCTATCTTGGTTCTCTCTGCCATTTACGATAAGCCGGTCGATCACCCCGATATTGTCCGCGAAGTAAATGCCATTGAAGTCGCTCTCAAGAACGAGACTGAGGCAGAGGGAAGCACTAATTGGGCCTCCACATTTAGAAACGACGAGGTCAGCACGGGCTATCGAGTGTTTTTGGCATGGTTTGTCCAATTTATGAACCAAGTTGGCGGTATCAACATGGTTGTCTATTACATTATGAGTAGGTCAAATCATCCCTCCCTACAGATCACTTGTCTAACCGAAGTGTTCAGCTGTGTTGCAAAAGAATGTCGGGTTGGAGCATAAGCTCGCTCAAATCATCGCCGGGTGCATCCAAATCATGTTCCCCCTGGGCTCTCTTCTCCCGTCTCTGGCCCTTGATCGCATGGGTCGCCGCACAACTATGATGTGGGGATCTGCAGGCCTCTGTGTGTCGATGCTCATGGTATCGGCACTCCTGTCCCAGGCGGATGGAACTCCACGAGGGAAATCATTCGCTTCTGCCGCGGTTGCATTCTTCTTCACATATATGCTCACCTTCGGTGCTAGTATGAATTGCGTGCCGTGGGTGTATGTACCCGAGATTTTACCTCTACATGCGCGCACGAGGGGTACAGCCATCGGTGTGAGCTCCAACTGGCTATGGAATTTCACAGTGGTAAGTTGACGTTCATCCTTCTCCTGGAGCCCTACAAATGCTGACATCAGATGTACCCAGGTCATGATCACACCAATTATCATCAACCGTCTTCAATGGAAAGCCTACCTGATCTTTACCATCACAAACTTCATCTTCATTCCCATCATCTACTTCCTCTATCCCGAGACGTCGAATTTGGAATTGGAAGAGGTGGACTACATCTTTTCGCGGGAGGGCAACGCAGTTCAAGTGGCGCGAGAGATGCAGAAAGAGCTTGCTATCCATGGAAAGCTCGATGTGGAAGGCCGACTTGACCTTGGGGGAGTGGCACCAAAGTCTGGGTCTACTAGCCATGATGAGAAACGCAGTGGTCAGGTGGAGCATACGGAATCTTAGCACGAGCCCAACTCCTTTGGTACTGTGAAGGTAGCACTAGGAGGTTTTGATAACACAGCTGGCTGGAGATAGAATTGGATACAACGCCGGTATCTATCTCAGAAAGGAATGAAAACTTCAGCGCTCTTGTCTTGGTCTTTCTCACTTTCTACCTAGTTATTGCTCCTCAACATGCGAGACGACCCATTGCATTTGGCTGGCTCAAACATGTACCCAACCAAAAGCTAACTCTGTTGGGTAAGGAGTCTCACTATAAAAAGATTGCAATGCCCTCTTGTGAGCTCATTTAAGATTCGGATTATAACAACATACTGTAATCATGAGGCCATCGAACTATCTAATTTGCCGAAAGGACTGAAGGCGTGTTTCCGCAGCTATTCAAAAAGTCGACTACAGGAACCTTGCTTATGTACATCTGAACCTCACCTGAACTGAAGCTCCACTCCGTGTGTGAATGACGAGTTCCCCTAGGTAAGGCACATACGCGCGCGCCAACCCCTCAGCCTCAGCCCTCATCAGCAGCCACTTGCAGCCAACAGGCCAAACTCATGCCCACAACACTCATGCCATTTTCTCATTATTCTGTAGCTTTCATCTCATCCGACTTTGTCCCACCACCAAAAACTGTTGTCTAGCACTCCACGCGGGTCACATCTACTGTTATCAACACTTTTCACCATGGCTGACCAGGTGAGTGTTCAACTCCGACGACGACCATGTGTAGGTTGTTAACATCGACTTAATCAATAGGCCCAACCCACGACTGTTACCGCTTCTGCCTCGACAGACGAAAAGCCGCAGTTCGTCAAGTCCCTTCAAGATTTGACAATCATAGAGCACTACGACCGCGGCGCCACTAAGCCCAAGGCCACTACCTTCTTCCACATCACTGCGGATGAAGAGCTCTATTTTGGAGAGACGGCCAAGAGCAAGTTTGATACGACTATTGCAGAGTTCAACGAAGCACTTGAGCGAGTCCCGGACGAAGATGTCTGGCCCGAGATCCCGCCAGGCACTCAGCTTACGCTGGCACCCGAAGGGTTAACAGAGGAGTCAGCGTTCCTTAAACGACCGGAGATTATCTCTTTCCACCCGGGAGGCAGTAACAACGATATGATCCCGCGGTCGATACTGCGAGAGACCTTGATTATGGAGCAAATCTCGAAGTCTCCCCATCCTGCTTTCATCCGATACTTGGGCTGTCGGGTGCGGCGAAATCGGATCACGGCCATCTGGCTTGAACGACATGAAATCACACTGAAAGACTACGTCGAGACGCCTGATTTTAAGAATTTGGACAAGGACAAGTTTGTGGACAGCATTGATTCGGCTGTGTATCATCTACATTCCCTGGGGCTTGCTCACAATGATATCAACCCTAGCAACATCATGGTCAAGGATGATATGCTGCCTGTTTTAATCGACTTTGGATCCTGTCAGCCTTTTGGGTACAATTTGGATTCGTTGGGTACTGTTGGCTGGTATGAGAAGCCGTTTTTCACGTCTGAAAAGGAGCATGATATTTACGGGTTGAAAAAGCTGCGAGAGTGGATCAAGAACCCAGAGTGAGAGAGACTACCTTATTGGAATAGATAGAAGCTTAAATAAAATATGCCATGAGGAGTGATCCAGTCTATGTTTTCTTAATGGGCAGTTTGTTCATGTCAATCGTTTGATCATGAAGATGCTGCCCTCGGGCAGAAACCAACTCGAGGATGTGCTATTGGGAAACTAACAGGTGCATCATAATTGTCAATCAGTTTTAAGAACCAAACAAGCGACTGACATGAAAATAGCACATCCAGAACCCCCATCTTCGAATTTCGATAACATTAAGCAAGAACCCTACAATAAACCCATCGATAAACATTATAGAAAATTTTAGTTTCATCATGTTGATATGATTATTAGGCTTGGCATAGGTAGTGAGAGTAGCGTTCACTGGTTCCCTCTATCATACAAGACTCGTCAATTGCTTTCCTCATAACACAGCAGTGCGTTTTTGTTAGCCAGCGGCCCGATATCCGGCCATGAAGGGGCCTTCAGCCCTCCCATGCACATCTTCAAATCGTTCTCCAGGAAATCAGCCGCTTCCTCACCGTCCCATACGAGCTCCTTCCGCCTGCGCAACCGAAGCAGCGTGATCGCCCTTCTCCTCACCGAAAAATCCTTGCATACCCCGTAAATTCCTATTAGCGGTGGGATGAGGTCTCCCCTGAGGGCGAAAGTTCGTTGTGTCGAAGGTGTCATTATCAACATCTTCTCGATCATATCCAGCAGTGGCCAGCACTCCTCCGGCGTTAGCTCAGGATCTTCATCAAACTCCTCTCCAAGCACAAGCTGCCACATGGCCTGCTGCACCTTTAAATTGAAGAAATCATAGTTGTCAGAAGGTGACATGACTTTCTCTGTCTCTGCAAATCGTTTGTCCCAAATTTGGAATCGTTGAATCACGTCGTCGTACATTTTCTGCTGCCTGTCTCTCTCCTCCTCCAACTTGGGGTCTCTGCTGATGTCTTCCTCCTCTGGACATTGGATATCTGATAATTCCAATTCAAGCAAAGTCAAGTCGTCCATCGCTTTCACTAAGCTGTCATACGGCTGGCTGGGATCGCCAGGTCCATGCATTGGCTTGGCGTAGACTGTGAGATCTGACAGTATCTTGTTTTCGCCAAACGCGTTGACAATGCTTCCGAGTGCTCGAAACAAGGTGGCGATTTTGGGAAGCACTCCCGTCGCTTCCACGGGCGACACGGAGCCTCTTTGGCTGAGATTTTTCAGCAGCTTTTGACCCGAGATCAAGTGCCGGAGGGCTTCCGAGTGATGACCCTGTAGAGTCTCGAGATAGATGAACAGTAGGCAGGAGACGAGGACTAATTCTATGTTTTCCGATTCATTATTCGACATGATGGGGATCAGGTGAGAGATGGCCATGGTGTATTGCCTGTGGATGAAGGCGTTGTACTGGGTGATCTGATTTGGCGCAATGAGGCCGTCGCTTTGGAACATCCAGTGCGCAGCGCCAAGCGCAGTGATGGAATGGCGAATCAGTTGTTGATCCTGTATCAGATTAGGAAGTGTCCACAGCCAAAAGTTTCCAGTATCATAAGATGAGCTGATGCTGTTGAGTGTGAACTTGAAGAAGTGGCTCAGGAAGCGCCTCTCAAGAAGCCCTTCCAGAGTATCAAGGCTTGTTGGGCGTGGCAGGAGCTGTGCAAACGATTGTGATCTTCCTGTGGGCGTCTGAGAAGAAAACATCTTCGCTATAGCTCTTTGAGCAGTCGGATTTGCCAAGACATCTTTCACACTGCTATTTTCCTCGTCGCTCGTACAGGTGCTCGTGCTCGTACAGGTGCTCGTGCTCGTACAGGTGCTCGTGCTCGTACAGGTGCTCTTGTTCGGACTGCGCTTTGTGACGGGAGCGTAACCGTCGCATTTCCAGCCGCCTTCTCTGCATCGAAGACACGTCGGCCTCTCTTCATCGCACTTTTTTCGACGTATTCTAGAGTAGCAAGAGTTAGAATAAGAGAATCCGGCTGGTCCGCGATCTATCTCCCCCAGAGCGAGAGTGTCTTACTTGCTGCGAGACTGTTAGTATAGTTTCTGATGCGCGGCCTCCACCCTAATTGGCTGCTGAATTTCTTTTTTTTCTCCGTTTATGCCGCTTGGGCACATGTAAATAGGGCTGAGCATGATTATGATTGGGGCGTACCAGGTTATACAGCCAGTGCGGACCTTGGGAGCGTATGCCCTGGTCCTCTTCGGCTTGGCCAACGGCTTGGCGTGGTCTTTACTATTGGACTTTTCAACCATCGTGTGTTTTTCTTATTACACAATATACGGTATCATGGGGAAGAAAACGGCAGCTGATGCAAGAGCCAGCTGATTGAACAGATCGTAAAGAGGCGCAATACCGCTCTTTGAAACTGGCCGAGCCGTGGTTGATATGTGAACTGATGACGTGTATCCGTTGAAAAGCTGGACGATACGCGCTGTCCAATCGGGAGCCAATCTTCAATAGGGCTAAAATATGCATGGATGGCAGAGGTTCTGGAACGTTTTGGTGGGACCGGCCCGTCCTGGTTTTACGAGTTAAAGGGCGTAAATCGTAAATGGGAACTAGGCAAACTCATCAGACTTTGGACACAAGTTTCGAGATCAGCATTGGCATTTCTCGAGCACGAGCTAAATGTTGTTTTCTTGTCTCTGGAGTCGATATGGATTCTTCTGATCTGGCCTCAGCTTGCCTGGGTTCACATACCTATGCAAGCAGGGACGTCGTTTGTTGTTAACCATAACAATAACAAAGTCCTAAAATAATCTACGATGTTTAGCTTAATATTATGTTTATTACTAGGTTTATCAACCTAATATAAAGCGTCTAGCCATGCCATGTTCCATCTCAGTCTCTTGCCCGAGTTTGCGCAAGATCGATTTTCTTAGATAATTACAACCTGCGCTAGCAGAAAAAGAGCAGCCACAAGGAGCAACGTAGCGTCATCTTGCATTACTAGTTAGCGCCGCCGGCAGATTTTCTCTCGTCTGCCTGCTGTTCACGGTTGCCTAATGACTCTTACGGTCACAAACCAGGGGGGAGCGTAGGTCTTTGCCGTATGTGACGACTAATTTTGAGTCATACGGGGTGGACAAGTGCCGATAAGGTCTTATAGTCAATACGCTATACTTGCTCTCTGTTCTACGGACATATGGCCAACGTGGGCATCAGCATATCGTAAACTTTTTCATGGTTCAGCTAGTGGATTGCTGCTGTTACATTGTCACTGGGACCTTTCGCTTTCTAGCTTTCCCCGGAACGTATTACGAACTGGAAGCCGCCCGTTTCTTCGCAAACAAGAACACGCCGCCTTTAGCTTTGTACGTTGAACATTCTCTCCACCAGGCTCTGCGGGAACCTGCACCATAGAGATATTCAACTGTTCAAGATGAGTCTTGAACCCCTTAACTTACTAGGCTAGTGCACCAAGATAGCTTCGAGGTAGTATGCCTTCCCATCTTCTCCACCGCAACCTTTCAGGAACGAGTCTTGGGGGAAATGTGTCCTCGTGTAACTTCATAATCTGTAGCAGCTTTTCGTCATCGAAACGGCGTGCAACAAAGCCTAAGCCGTAAGGCTTACCGCCCCGATATTTCCCAAGTGGTACTGTCGCGGTAGGTGCTTCTATATCTCAACAAATGATGTTAACCTTTGCTCATACTTCTCTTGGGAAATAAAACCAAGAATAAATGTCTGTTGAGGACCTACGGGCCCACGCAGCAAAGATGCTCATCTTTGTCCATGCTGGCAGGGCAAGCGCGACGAGGTTATACTTGTCAAGCGCTTCGATGATACCTTCATCGATGGCGATCTTTTTGGTCTCTTGTAGAGCGGCGTGATATTCCTCGTCTGTTAGATGCTGGTTGAGTGCTGACTCGAGGTACCCTTGAGCTGCATTCTCTGCTGAGCGTCGTTAGTATGTGGAGTGATGTGTGATGCCAAGATAAACTCACCTCTACTACACGAGAGCTCGGGATGTTGACGGACGAATTTAACCAGATCTTCCAGAGATTTGATTTGGATGCCATCTAGGTATGCTGTGTGCTTGATAAAGCCTGGGCCCATCTCATGTCCTGAATCGCGCCCAGTGTTAGCCTAATCAACTAAGGGTGTGAGAAAGAGAGAAAACGGGGCTGGGGGCAACAGATGAGAGGGATTGTCATCGAGGATCGCATACGTATTATTTTGCCCATTAGCTTCTGGACATGACCAAGAGAAAGGGGAGCGCTTCGAATTTTGGCATCCGGGATGATGGCTGCCCCTCGTCGTTCCATTTCTGCGACTGCCTCAAGGCCTAATGAGAACATCTGCAAGACTGTTTAGCTGGTACTTGCGAAACGAGGGTTGGCTAGCGCACTCTTCTCTCGTCATCAATGTCGGCCTGCTCGCCGACGAAGCCTGGAAGGATAGACCAGAACCATTCTCTGTCGGCCACGCCAATTCGGAAATCATGCCAGTCAGCATCGAGGGTAGCGGTGAAGTTTCTGAGAAACGGTTCTGAGTCGCTCGTAACTGCATCGTCGGGATCAATGCCAACAATTTCAGTCAATAGTGCGGCGACGTCCCAGGCCGATTTCGCCAGGATACCAGGCGAGTCGAAGGTCGTCGAGGATGGGAGGATTCCGCTCCGTGAGAGAAGGCCTGTGGAGACCTTCAATCCATACAGCGCCGTAAATGATGCTGGACAGCTGATGGATCCTTGTGTCTCAGTCCCCAGGGCAAGAGGTGCAAACCCAGCTGCAACGGCGCCGGCTGGTCCAGCGGACGACCCGCAAGGGTTCCAGATCGTAGGGTGAAAGAGTTTCACCACCGAGCTGTGACCAGCCAGGACTGAGGTTGTTATCCCTGGAGTTATACCTAAGTTAGCGATGTGATAAATGCTATGACACGATGAGCCTAACGCTACCATACTTGAAGCCGTTGAGTTCCTATCGAATGATGTTAAACGAGTTGACTCCAAAAAAAAAGGAAAAAGAGAGAGAGAGAGAGAGAGAGAGAGAGAGAGAGAAAGAAGGACAAGGCATATGCTTCGGACGTAGTCTTCATGCCAAGCGACTCATCAGTCGCCATATTTCCCTTTCGGAAAGGTGTCAGCGCAAACATATCGCTACTAGCGAATGGTACATACCTTCAGAAGTACAGGGACCCCGTGTAGTGGGCTGCGGATGATGCCTTTGCGTCGCTCTTGGTCTCTCTCGCTGGCGATGTGGAGAGCAATAGCTCGAGGCGTGACCTCGAGCATCGTGTGAAGCCCAAGCCCAGACCTGTCATCCAGATCGATCTGTCGCAGGTACTCCTGCGTGACTTGTAATGAGGTGAATGTCTGGTTGTTGAGGAGCTCTGCGACATCCCGGGCCGTGAGGGTCAGGAGATCTATGGAGGAAGGGGTCGTTTTGGGTGAGTGGACGTCGCCTGCAAACCATGCTAGGCAAGCAGCTACGGCCAGTGAGGCAAAAATCCAAGAGATGTGTGAAGCCATGGCCGATCTTCCAGGACTTGGGGAGTAAAGGGCGGTAGCGTTGATTCAGGTTTGCCGAAGTAGAGAGGCGGCGATCGTTATGATGAGATTGCTCTTACCGCCGCACCAGCAGACGAGGTGAGAAGACGAGGTGAGAGGGCCTTGGGGTCTCAGGTACGAATGGGAGGAGGTGAGTTGCCTAAAACTACACTACCCAAGATATTATAAGGCAGCCGGCTCTTTATTACGTCTTGTCCAACTAGTGAACAACAACTGAGACGTGAGTGAGAATCATCCTCTCTTTTTCTGCCCTCAAGGTCATGCTGCGAATTTTCTTGCTATAGGTGCTAAAAGAGTTAAAAAGTTAAACTCTGTTGAAGGCGTAAAGTGAATAAATTATTTGATTTATATCTATTAGGACTATTTAGGATAGTAGTCAAGTGAGAGATCTATACAGCTCATATTGCAGCTTAAAGAGAAATTGGGGGTTGGAGGGGGCCACACTTATAGATCAACAAGTCGATGCTATACCCAGCACCACAATATGGTCAACACATACATTTCAGCCTTTTCGCTTGGGTATGATCCTTACACCAGGCCGGATATAAAGTTCAACGCCAGCAATGGCTTGTGCCCGGCATGATAACTTTTTCGCTGGCGTGACTCTCATCATGAACCTTAAAATCCTGCTTTACACCTATTTGAAGGCGGCCATCCGCTTAAGGTGGTGAAGTTTTCTTTGTTCTGTTTCTCCCTTCTAATGCTCCTATCCATATCGGTAAATATCTGGACGTCTCACAGCCCCCCCACGTCTGGTGGAATATTTAGAGAGATCGCTTCCCCCGGAGATCCATTAGTATCACCATTCCTCCTTACTTCTTTTTATATCCTACCTAACTGACTAGTTTCAATATGGATATGGATAACTCACAACGACGAAGCTCTTGGTCTAATCTTACACAAGAGATTCGATGGCAGATTCTCAAGGTCCTCTGCCAAGACTCTGGCATCGCCAAATATGCAACAGTCTGCTCTGAATGGCAGAGGTTTATTGAGAAGATCACATTTCAACATCTTATTCTCAATAACTCAGATATAAAAAATTTTAATGGAATGATAAACGGAGGCAATAATACACACCGAATCCAGTATATTCAGTATATTTGGCTTCGTATTGAAATATCGGAGTATGACTGTTTCCAATGTATGGAGCATGAGACTGAACTCGAGGCCCACAGGTATGATAAATTCTCCAAATGAAGATTTTAATTATATACGGAATATTAATATGGCATTTTCTTATAAATAGGAACGATTTGATATTCACTGGGGCTATGCATAAGTTCCTATGCATCCTCTCGACCTGGCCACGACCAGAAGGCTTTGATGGCATCACTCTTGAGATAAGCATCATATCCCCCAGTGATAATAAGCATTTTTACTATGATGTTGCAACACACGAGGATTACCCATTCAAACCATGGGACCTGAACATTAAACCGCATAACGTGGGTATGTTCCATGAAGCTCATTTCTGGAAGATAGAACGTGACCATTTTGATTCTGCGCCACACTGTCGGACACAGATGGGGTATATGCAAAATGTGGAGTCTCTTCATGTAGCGGAAAGACACCTCGGGTCCCTTATTCAGTTCCGGTGGCCAAATGGGAGTCAAAGGCTTCCACGGGTTGAAATTCTTAACTCATTGGTGATGCGTCATCAATTCAAACGACAGTTGAGCCCGCTAGCTCTTGCAAAGCTTTTCAGTGAGAGTTTGGTATGTGCTACCTCTTTGAGATTAGAGAGGTGGTGTAGGTTCACAACAGAGGAAGAAAACAGCTATTTGGCCGGTAAGAAATACCACCCTCACCTCTTTCCCCTGTTATGTCTGGCTACTAATACAGAATAGAATTCCGACAATATGTACTACTATCCTTACCAAAGAGTCTTCAGTGTTTTCACTATGTTGCAGACACATTTAGGGGTGGCCGACTTGTAGATCCGGTCCAGGTCAACTCCCTCTCTGCTGTTGAGTTGTTGAACAGCTTTGGCAATCAGTGGAAGGAGGTCTCGGTCGTTGAGCCTTTCGGCTCACTGGATCAGTTTACAGAGTCACGAGGGTTGAAGGCCTTAGTCACAGAGCCTTTGTCTCCCAAACCTTGGCTTCAACTCCAGAGAGTGTGCTTCAAGTCTGGTGTGCTGATGCCATGGAATGAAGCTATTATCAGCGACCTATTGGTATCCACAGCCGCCATTGCCAGAAATATGCCAAATATCCGAAGCATAGAGATCTTCAATACGAAAGGGGAGTGGCATGTCGAGAATCCCTCATGCCTAGTACGCTACAACACCGAGTTCGCGCAACCCATCTTATCGTGGCAAAGCGACTGGATGTTCTCCCTTGAAGTCATAGTTGAAGGTCTCAAAGGGACCCCAGACCAAAGACCCGGGTTTTCCTTCACAAACCAGACGAGGCGTGCGTGGGAGCGGACTGCACTAGCCCATACCGGCCGTCATGGGTTAAAGACTGTTGTGCGTGAGCCGAGGGAATTTTTACCGATCTCGGTGCAGCTTGCGGACAATTTCAAGTTGGATGCTGTTCATCCTTTAACGAGAGCCATTATGAGTGTTTATTCGGACCGGATGAAGTTGTGGTGATGATAATGGGAATCTGTGTTTTCGATACATCTGACAACTTTGACTTTAAATGTGCGATTGTTCTATTTTCACCGAATGCCTAAACAATTCCTACAAATTTGAGATTTAAATATTGACCAGAATTCTCTAATAATCAGCTTAACCGCCAATCAACACCTTGTTAGCCTGAGCCCATTCTTCCAAGGTCGTCAGCTGCCCGGTATATTTCTGAAAATTGGCGACTGCCTCTTCGTGTGCCTCGCTGTTCAATTTAAACCCTGCCAACAGTGTTACCATTTGCTGCGCCAAGGGCGGCGGCATCCCAGCTTTCATCATATACTCCACCGCTTCCTCGTCGCTCTGTTCGGTGACCTTGATGTCCTTGCCAAGAACTCTGCTAAAGATCCCGATGGCCTCCATCTGCGATAGAAGCTTGGGTCCGTAAACCGAAATGGAATTGCGTGGTTCGGCGCCTTCTGTGACATGCTTTCCCTGCACAAGTACAGTGCCAGCCGCTCTGCCGACGTCAGCGGGCGTAATCCAGTCGAATTTGACATCTGGATAGGAGATCTTGACCTCTCCCTCGCGGATCATGCTCGCCCATCGAGCGGCGTTGGTGTTGAAGTAGCCCGGTCGAATCGCGACGTAGCCATGCGATCCAAAGACTTCTTCGAGGTGAATTTCAACCTGTGCGTGGGCGTAGGGTACCAGGTACGAAGGTGTGATTTTCCGAATATCACCTTGGACAGTGTAGGAGCTGAGGAAAACTACGAACTCGATCCCAGCCAACTTGAGAGTCTCAATGGTGGATCTTAGGTAGCCCTCCTTTGAACGCACGAGATAGATGAAGGCATGCTTGGCTCCGGTCGAGCGCACTGCAGACTCGACAGTTTCGGGCTGCGTGAGGTCGGCTTGGACTCGTTCGAACCCTCTGGACGTCTCCTCCTCAAGGCTGAGGTCGTGGATAGGCTTTTGCAGATCACGCACCGATAGAATGACCTTTGCTCCAAGCTGTTGAGCCTGAATCGCGGCGGCGGAGCCAACGTGACCTGTGGCTCCAAAGACGATGATAGTAGGGGGTGACATTCTGAGAGTATCTTGTTTAGTAAATATGGGGGGAGATCTCAGTGAAAACTATGTGGCATTCAGGAAGGCTCCGATCATCATATATAAGTTATTTTCAGGCCGTGGGAAGTGACTTTGTCATTTACAAGTTGACCCAATATCCGCACTATTCTGAAAAAGGAAAACAATGTACCCTGTTGGTGGAGTCCATCGGCCGAATCTTGTGATGATGATTATTTTAAACTTGAACGTCTCGTCGTGCCGATTTCCGCTTTTACACGAGCTTTTGGTTCCATGCCCGGCCTCAATTCGATGATTGTTCTCCTCTTTGAGTAGCACTGAATACCGGCGCGATAACCAAGAAATTACATACCATCCCTGCAGAGTACATCGACCGGAGGATCTCCGCAATGCCGAAGAAGAGGACGCGTCCGGCAAATGCGGCACATACTTTTGCCTTTGTTTCTGTCAACGATTTCGGACAGGTGCATCAGGCAGTTGATAGGAGACTGATCAGAAGTCACTGTATGATCGGTAAAAACAAGAGAAGGCCAGATCCTGAAGCCAAACCCTCCAAGCATGGCAGTGGTCGGGGTGCGCAAGCCGAGTCCCAGCAGCCGATTCCCGTAGCCCCCCCTTCCGACCTATCACTCGTCAAATTCGTCAAGGATATCGACTCACATACACGGAAACTCCTCTTCGAGTGTCAGTCAGCCCTCTAGTCCCACACTTGCAACACATCCCGGCTAACCCCTGTTGGAGACTTCGTCGAGTCAAACTCTCTCTTGTATCCCCGTGAACTCGGCATTGACTATGAGCGCAGCAGGAGCTCCTGGTTTGTGTGGCTTTCGTACGACCTGGGATTCTTCCAATCAGTCCTGCTCAGCGCGTCTGCCATGGTAGACTACAAGACGAAGAAGCCATTCAGCAACGCGACGCACCAACACTTGCAAAAGACCATTGGTCTGTTGAACGAGCGCTTGTCGGATGATAACCTCGCCCGGAGTGACGCAACTATCTCCATAGTGCTCAACCTTACTAGGCTTGCCGACTATTCCGGGGATGAAGAGGCCAAGAGGACACACATCGGCGGTCTTCAACGGCTAGTGCATCTACGTGGGGGTTTGGATGCGTTCCGGTCCAATAACAAAATGTGGATCAAGCTGAGTCGGTAGGATAACATTTCTAACCGTGTTGGCCGCCTCTTCCGTGACTGACCTTGAGATTAGTCTTGATTTCGGCCTTTGTCTCGACACTAGACAGCACTTTGAGACCGAGCCTGCGTTTTGGGGTCCGTTATTCGACTACAAGAGACCCCTTCCATCCGAAAACCCCATCTATGGTCTTATACCGGAGTTATCTGCGTTCGAATTCTTTGTGGATTCCAGACTGACCACCATCTTCCGCGATCTGCAGTATTTCAGTGCGCTTCTCAACACTGCAGTCCTCCGCAAACGGACCCTCAGCGATAAGCAATTCCACCAAATTGTGTGTTCCATCCAACGCCGTCTCATGCGCCTGCAAGGTACGCTACCTGATCTCCTAGGAGAGTGCTTCCGCTTGGGCATGCTGGCCTTCCTCGCGACGCTATTTCAGGTTCCACGGACGCCATGTAGCTACCCATACCTCGAAGCCCGGCTCAAGGAGGCCTGTCAGTCCATCGAGACGACGCCGGACCGGCAGGATATACTAATGTGGCTACTGATGGTCGGCGCTATGACGGTGTACAAACCCGAGGAACCCTGGTTGCGCGATCGATGGCTTTCGGACGTGTTGCCCTCGACGTGGGCAAAGGCGCGAGGAAGATTACAGAATATTGTATGGATCAACGCTCTGCATGATCAGCCGGGTAGGCAGGTCTTCGATGTGATGAGCATGAAGAGGCCGGATTGCTTTCATTTATCTGGTTGATTGTCTCTAAACTTGTAATACCGCACTGGTTCCCTTCGCCGGCCCTAAGCAAGGCTTCTATAGCTTACATAGTTTCTTATTAATAGCCGTGGTGGACTTCCCCTTGAACCATTTGCCATTTACCATGTCGACCTTGAAATTGAACACGGCCGTTTTCCATTGTTCCCCATAAACAAGTAGCAAAACTTTTACATAGTTCAAATGTTAAGCAAACAACAACAACAATAAGAATAACAAGACCAATACATATTAAACCTCTAATAGACTAATTTCTAAATGGATTCTATATCAACAAGGCCTTGCTCAACAAGTTGCCATGCCTCAGGGCTAAGGTAGCCGGTTATCCAGTAATTTCCCTCATGGTCCTTCCCAGGAATTCCCATCGAATTCCGAGACAAGCGACTTTTTTTCAGCAACGTGGAGTGATGATACACCATCATACCCAGAGGATTCTTCCGTGTGTCATCGCTCTCGCCCTGTTTAACAACAGCGGGCCCGAATTGGATTGCGTGCACAAAGTCTGCCTTGGTCCAGTTTGACAAGGTAAACAACCATCCATCTGACGGACCATACACCGGGTTGCGGTAGCTGCCCCGGTCCCAGTTCCTGCGAAGCTCTCTAAGATGGCCTAGAACCTGCTCAGGTGGAAATTGCTCTTTCAAACACCGGCGGTGTTCTAGAGCAATACCACTTACTGGCCCTTTGTACAATTCAGCGCTGACGGTCGTGAATGTTAGCAGCACCATGTTCTGGACGTACACGCCGTCTCGGGACACTGTTTCTGGAAGTCGCGAGCGCAGATCAAAAAGGCCGCCTATGATCATCGGCCTAGCACCTGGATTGCTAAGAGCGGCCTTTTGAGCGAACCAGGCTGTCAGAATGTCTCCTTCACTAATCCAAGCGTCTCCTGCCTCTGCTCCATTTTTCTCTGCAATTTCCCGCTTCATTTGGGCCCGAAGATTATCTATGAGGCGTTTGGGGATATACGCGGTTCGGGAGTCCGTAGCGGGGTTGAGAAACATATCCTTCAAGAACCTCAGCCCAAACATGAGCATCTTGAAACCGAATAGACGAGTCGGCTCCAACACAAAAGGCTTTTGTTCTCCAAAGTCTGGGTCTGCAGCCTTGTATAGGACATCCTCCCGGGCACCAAGGAAAGGAGGAACCTCGGCCTCTTTACCGGCCAGGATAAGAGACCAGGAACTCATAATGGCATGTCGACCCATAGCATCCGTTACGGCGTGTGGCCATGCAAGCCCTATGACAGTTGCATCATCAAATGAGGTGATGTGCAGCGACAACAGTGGAACATCGCGGCTGAGATAGTCTTCCAACGTCTGGGGGGCGTCAGGGCCGGTCGTTAGGCCTAGGAAATCGTGAGGACCCGCAAACACTTGGGCCTTGGCTCCAGCTACCGGTAGCTTTCCAGCCAGATCATGCTCCGCGATCTTGATGTTGAATGTCTGGTGAGAGTAGGTTACTGGAGGACGCGCGGCGGTGAACGGGACGGGGACATGGAACTCCAGCTTCCCGCTCTTTCCCACTCTCATCCTGCCGCCCAGTTTCTTCCAATCCCCTATGTTAAGGAGCTTGCACAGCGCCTCATGTAGCTTATCCGCGTCCAACACATCGTTGAATCGCATAGTCCAACCGAGAATCAAGGGCCTGAGGACGTCAGCGCTATCAATGCCGTGGACGGGATAGATTTCGTCCCCGTCGACGAGGGGATGCTGGCTCTTGATGCCGAAAAGCCATCGTATCGTCTCCATTCTAAAGAAATTATAGATGGTTTGCCGGTTTGAAGATGCTCGGCCCCGTTTGTCTAACCGTGAGAGTAAGACGGTGGTGGTAATGGGCTGAGGAGGTGAAATGAACCAGCGCGCGCGCTTAAAATACATTGATTACTAACAGCCCTGTCTGTTTTTAAATAAGAGTAAGCGCTTGTTGGCAAAAGGGTGACATTGAAATTGAGACACTCAAACATTAAGCTGCTTATTCTCAAGTCTATTCTCAAATTATTGAGTCTTAATAATACACAATACTATATTTATTGTTACTTTCTTCTATTTATACACTACTCAATATCTTTATTTGTTTCAAAAAGTAGTTGATTTATAACCGCCTTTCTATTAGGTGTCTTATTTCCCCCGTCACCCACTTTGTTGAATCCTTCTACAGAAGAATCCTTGGCATCGCAGGTGTTCTTGGCCAACACCTAGTTCACTCCCGTTGGTGATAATATCACACGCTTCTCCAATTCCACTGACCGCTTTGCCAAAGGCGATCCTTAACCTTGTCAAGGATCTTCTTGAAGATGCGGCCAAAGCCTTGCGCACCCGCCGGTTACATGGGGCTATATGCGGCCCATTGGTTTGAGGTTGGCCAAATGATATTGGCCTCTTCCCATGCGCTATTCGCCGCACAGCTCTCACTTTCTGCTTATAGCAGAATCACAAACTGCCCGAGGACGATGGTCTCATGGCGGAGGGTCCTAGAACACCAGACTTGTATTAGTCCCGGAATTCAATAATTTAAAAATTAACAAAATTCTATATCTATGTTACTTACATTACTACAGTTTGTGATTGATGCTCGATATGTGATGTGGGTGATAATGATAGAGTTCCTGGACAAAGTAGCCATGTTGAAATTGAGCCCTGAGTACAAAAATTCCTTGACCGCATAGAAGCGATTAAGCAACAATCTCAAAATGCACATATTCTTGTGACTGGCAGTGTATTTCTAGTTCACGATGTGCTCAGACTCTTGAACTATAATAAGATCAGTTAGGCAGCTCGTGCAGGACTTTGTCGTTCTTTGCCACCTACCGTAGTCTGATTCATCGAGTATATGAAAGTATCTAGGATGATCAGAGTTTAATAAAGGAGCGATGCAGAGTATAGATAGCAATAATAGAATATGTTTATCAATTTTCATCTTCCACCATTGGATATCATACATTGTGATCAAGTGCTGCCGGTCTCTGTTATCGAAGCATACTCCAAATTCTCATCCATTCATCTGGCTAGAGTGCAAGTGTTTCCTCATGTTGTTCCTATGGTATCTCAGGCGTCTGCTAGGGCAAAATCCCATGTAGACTCGAATAGATCAGGCCGACTTCACTTTCGTACTCAGGTTTGAAAAGAGGAACGCCTCCAAAATAACACTCAACTCAAATTCAATGCCTGCTCCCCTCCGGATTTGCACCAAATGCTCCCCACCATCAGGCTCAAACGTTACTTGCGCGAAGAGAAAGGGCAACGATTTTGGTTCCGCTCTATGCAATAATCGTGGTTGGAAGGGGAGTGGACCTTGCCACCACAGTCGTGTAGGTTCCTCATCGTCGACAACCCATTCGAAAGTTTGAGGTTTGTGAGCTCGACCAGGCACCTTGACGACTGGTATCTCGCTGCTGTACCGGAACTGTGTATAGCCGTCGTCTGTGCAGAAGACGGGACGCCAGTGCGCGTCAGGCTCAGTGGGTGAGGCGGTGCATATCGTGCCCACAGGCACCTTCTTACTTCTCTTCTCAGTTGATGCGCGTGCTGCAGCAAGAGCAGGGAGCGTGGTATCAGACGCAGAGAAAATTTGGATATTGCCGACTTTGGTAGGCCCAAGGATAAGTTCGATACGGTAAATAGGTGTAGGGTCTACCGTAAGAGATAGATGATAGGTTGAATCAGAAACACGAGTGATGGAGAAATGGTCCATATAGCCATCGCTAATCGAGCAACTTTGGATACTACCAGCAAGGCGGCTGGGATAAGCGAGGCGGCTGGACTGAGCACCAGGAGCTGTTTTTTCTTGAGTAGAAGACGGCTTCTCCTGGTAGGGAGGCAGGCCATCGGGATTGGAAGACATTTTGAGTGGTGAGAACACGATGGTGATGGTGATGGTGATGGCTCCTCCAGGCGCTGTGGTTGATCGAAATCAAGAGGGGTAACAAGCAAGGTACTTCGGTCAAGTCTTGGAGAACGCCAAAACTGGTGCCTCGTCAACTCGTCAGCCTGAGCCTTGGCATCCAATTCTCCAATCCTACAGTGGGCCGTTTATGGAGTGATTTCGCGTCGGTATTCCCACCCTGGACTAATAGACGGCAGTTTCTTACCAAGAGATTTATGGATCCGAGCTGCCGCGGACGCTCCCTGCCGGCCCCTGACCCAAATTGGCTCTGCAGCAGAACCAACAGCATAAACACCTTGCCAGATAACATGGGAGAACATGGCTCTAATTGGTTCGTTTAGGAGCAATTTTGTAAGCTCCGCCGCGTAGCATGGCTACGGGCAACCAACGATGCTTGGCTTGTCCTTCCGAGAGTTCCGTCTGCTAATTCGAGCTATTTTGGGATCATTTGTAAGTTTTTAGGAACATTCATGAGTTTTTAGGAACATATGTGAGTTTTGACATGAGGTTCTCGGCTACAGAAACCCCTGACAAGCGAGCTTCGTGATAATTATATAGTTCGGCGGAATCTGCTAAGGTCGTCTCGAATTTACAAATCAAGCAAAGCAACATCTCCTACTCCATCATCCGTCTCTTTCCTACCTCATTCTTAGACAAGTCAGCACAGACAATACCTTTCCTTGCATCATCATGCGCTTCAACATTGCCTCCATCTGCGCCTTCGCGTCTCTGGCCACGCCACTTGTCAACGCCGCCTGGCACGACCAGTCCAATGAGAAATGGTATGTACTCTCATCTCGCCCAGCTCAGAAAACTCTTAACACTAACGAATGAAATTTCACACAGGCTCGCATACTCTGCAAATGGCTGCACCGTTGGGTCCGTAGTTTGCGGCGTCAATGGCCAACCTGCCACCTCTATTGCGCTAGGAGCGATGGCATTCTGCTGTTTTATGGCCAAGGACACAGCCGCGCCTTACCGAAATGGTGAATTTAGGGATACGAAGAAAGCTATACAGGCGAATTGGGACAAGACGGTGAAAAGTGCCGGCGCTGCTGCTAAGATTGTCAAGAACACAGCCGGAGAGTATGCCGACAGCACCAAGAAGAATATCGTGAAATGCGCGAAGGGGGTCTGCAAGCTGGTCAGCAAGCCAAAGCAGCTCCTTCCTAAAAGGTCCATCAACAGGAACTATCAACGTGATCAGAGAAGCAGTGGGTACAGGAAAATGAAGCGCTCCTCCCCAGGCATGCGAGCTCGGAGCGGCAGGCCGATGGCCATGGATTACTAGGACTATGTGATTTTGATCGCATACGGAAGTAGCTCAACTGTATTTAATATTTAGATTGATAGTTTTTGGTCAGGAGCTTTTATCAATAACTCCCTGACACATAAGTTCACACTTTACACGGCTCCTTAACTACCTACACCCTTACACGTTTATTGGCATCCTCTCCACCTACAACCCATTCATACACCATGTCCATCCGCATCACATACTTTACGCCTTTCTTGACCACTGTTCCTTCATGAAGAAGCCCTCGCTGTTGAAAAATGAGCACACTACCAGCCCTAGGATCGACATTAACCCTTCTTTCTCTATCTTGGGATAGAAATGATGTGACGCCTCCTTGTAGAGGCTCTGTCCCTCCTCTTTCTGTAGTAGAGTCGCTGAGATACAGCATCGCTGTGTAATGGGTCTGAAATTCTGCACGTTTATGTTTGTACCAGATCGGGTTGTCGCAGTGTGCTATCCCATATTGTTAGCAGAAGACAGTAGGTTGAGGGGAAGTTCAAGACACTAATATGCTCACGTTTAAAGAAATGGCCAGGCTCATACCGGAGGAAGCGCATACGTTGGTTCAAACGACGAAACTCCCATTTCTCACCGTCGAAGCTACCCTCAGGGACTACCTCGGCCAAGAGCTCTTTTAATCCAGGAGCCTGTGCACATCGGTCCCATATGCGGTCCACTATCGACTGCTCATCCCATTCGATCCGATCACAGTGTCGATAGTCTCGCACCGTAGCCTGAATCCCGTGGCCAATTTTTATTGTTGCAGGCTTCCATGGCGTTTCGTCTTCTTTTATGTTTAAAACGCTCGCTTCCGCCAAAGAGACCAGCTGGTCGCACTCTGCCTTGGAGAGAATGTTGTCAATGGTGAGGGCAAGGCATTCAGCATTTTCAGGTAAAGCAGATGATGCGAAGTCGATGTGCTTGATCTTGAGAGGCTGAGGAGGTGTAGATGCAAGAAACTCGTCAGGTATAAGATCTGGTCGCGAAGTCTGCTTGTGGGGTTCCAAATTTCGAGCCATGCTGAAAGATTCACATTAAACCGAAGATTGAGATGAAAGGAATTCAATGGGAAGTCCCTCTAGGATTTTCTATCATCTTCTTTTATACCACTACAATACAGGCTTACGTCCATCTGGTCATTCTCAGTAGTCAGAAGTGCTTTGTGGAGACAATCGATGCTTCGCCACGATGTACACACACGACCTCCCCAAGCTTTCTCTCTTCCGCAAACACCATCAAACCCCTCTAAAACATTTGAAAGTTATCATACTTCTTTACCTAAATTAAATTCTATGCAAGCAATTTACCCCAAGCGTCCCCTAGGATCATTCTGTCGATATTTTGGTATTTGCCACCCAGGTAAGCATCGCGATCAGCATCGCATGACCACATAGCAGACACACCACCTTGCTATTCTCGCTCAGAAAGATGTAAGACTATTCGGTTTTGAGATAAACCCAGATTCTTTGTTAGTTACAATCAGATGTATGGAGCAAATTTGTGTCTTTTCTTTTCTCTGCTTTTCGCATGGCATTGAATGCCAAATTCGAGTACTCTCAGTATACTTCATGGATAAAGGATGGAAGTCAATCTTTGGCTATCCTAAAGTTCCAATAAGTTGAATGAAAATTATTCTACGGATTTATGAGAAATTTCATGTCCATTGATCATTAAACTAAGCTTCAAATTCCAGCAAGTTCTGCAGAAGAATGATACCCTCGTGATATATATATTCAGGTACTCAACAATGCCGTCGGAAATCCATTAGACTCTCAACTCATTTTAACGTACAACCGGGCTGTTAAATTTGACATAGTAGACTGGACCAGATATGATCTAGCAAAAATGACATAGCCGTCCAGGAAGTCACTGCTGCCTCTGAGGATAGTTTTACGACCTCATTCGGCCGACCCGACGATCAGTGCATGGTCAACAGTCTCAGAAAATAACTTTCCCAAAGGCCATTACAGAAACTATCAGCTGTCCGTCTGGGATACTGTATAATATAATTCCGAAACAGGTTGGGTACCCCAAAGCATAAACTGTGACTGAGCTGTCTGAGCTATGGTATCACTGAGCCCAAGATGGGCGGCAAGTTGCTGATACAATCAAACCAGTTACATTAAAGTGATAGAATAGGAGATGTCAAGTGGGTAGAATAAAACATGGCACATCGAGATAATTCAGTATCAAATCTCAATATAATATCATAATAAATAATCTAGTACTAAATATAATATGAAGCTAAATATTATAGAAATAATTTTTTATTCTCTTATTCTTCTCTTATTATTATATTTAGTTAAAAAATGGAGCTCCCCGGCTTACGCGGAAAGAGCTTTTGTGTGCCATGTTTTATTCTACATGTTCATGACGTTACATTGTGAATGTTGAGTATGGTTCGAGATTCCTGGTGCTCTGCCACAAGGCACTACAGATGGCACACTCCTCGCCCAATCTTTCACCGAATTCATCGAGTCCTCTAGATGTCCATCACCTGCAAGTTTGCCTGATTCTCTGCTAATGCGAACCATTTTCTTGCATGCTGAGCCCCCCACTGATACGCACGAGGGTGTGTTGGGTGGCAAGCCCATTCGCTTCTACCACCTCGAGTGCGGGGTGACTGCATACATGAGCCTGTGTCGCACTGCAAGAAATTGGGGCAGTGACTGAGGTAGGCAGAATTGGCTCAAGAAGATTGGTATATCAAGGCCATGCGCCACGCCTTGGGCCTCAATACTTCCATCCGTTTCGTTTCTGGACATTATGTTACTCATGAAGTGGAACGATACGTTTATCATATCCCCGTCCTCCTGGGTTGCCCTATTTTCAATTTCCCCAGGGGCATATTCTTTCTCAGCATTTCTGTCAGCATTTCCTCGAAAATCATCCAGTTACTTAGCACTCCCGCGATAAAAAAAAATCAGTCCAGGGGCGACTCCTGGCGCCGTTAAGATGGAGGTCGCTCTATGCTTCTTTAGCGTCATACGTTTAGCGAAGAAGCTGAACAGAAAATTCCACGAGGTCAAGATCAATTCTGGCGTATTTGAGGGCGAAATCGTGATTAGCTGTACCGGCCTTGTTCAAGCTGCCAATTCGCTCAATACCGCCGGCAAGAACCTTGTATCTCTCTGTTCAGAGCAAATCGATTCACCCATATTCAAGCACATAGATGAACAACGCCCACTGCTCGAGGAAGGACGGCAAGTGATTTGGGACACGTTGAAATGGCTTAACCGTCAAGTCAAAAGTTACGAGGGCTCGTGGAAGTTAGTGGTAATGTGGAAGTGGAAAAACATGAAGCCTTTTTTTGACTGGCTGCAGAGTCAAATGGACTTCATGTTACTCAACATCCTTGTTATCAACAGCACCATTGAATTAAACATCGTGTCGGCATACGTGAGCACTCATGGCCTTGAAAGTTATCCCTGCTCAAGTCATCTGTAAGTCGCCCGTCCATCGGTCACACATTTTTTACTAACCAGAGCTAGCAAAACACTCAAGAGAAATATTAAAGACTACAGCAGACAGATCAAGAAGCTACGGGAGGTCGAAAGACTGAGGGAAGGCCAGCTACCCCTAGGAACAAGATTACGATCCAGTTCGCAGAAATACATGCGGGACTCGATGGACATGATCCAAACCTTGAGAAAATCATATACACCACCAGCTGCGGCTTTTCAAGGACTTGAATCGCCCACCACCTCGACATCCACGGCTACTTCTACCCCCTCTTCTTCGACCGGCTCCTCTTTCAACTCTTCCTCCACTAGCTCTTCTTCCACCCCTCCCTCGGCCTCTCCTCCTCTACATTCGTCTCCGGAATCTCCACCGGAAAACCAAACTCGTATGCCCAATCCTTCTCCAAGAACTCGCAGCCAACAGAGCGGACCCACCTCCGTTAGGGATCTTCGGCCCAGGTCGCCGACACGCACGACCTTTGCACGGCCCCAGAATCCCGGGCAAGAGCAGCAAGAACCTACTCTCATCGTCGATTCTAGGCACAACGAAGATGTATTCAGCTATTACATTAAATTCATTGATCATGTGAGGCCAACGAGGAGCTTGCTAACCCAGATCAACATACGCATTCCCATCAACATCATCTCTATCTACAAAGCACAGGAACTAGATCTTTCTATACAGGATTTGGAACCGGGAGACCACCAGAGAGTGCGGTATATTTCTTCTAAGAATCGCACATCCAATTGGAAGATCGTGGGCAAAACACTAGATGTCAAGCTCTACTCGGATTCAAACGCTCACACCAAGCCAAAGACACTTTCGCTCTTCGTGGCTCACGCCTCCTTGGATCCGCCCATCATACTCGGCCAGCCGTTCTTAAAACAGAGCAAGCGGAACCAGACACTGACAAGTGGGTGAAATAAAACATGGCACATCGAGATAATTCAGTATAAAATTTTAATACAATATCAAGCTAAATATTAGAGATTATTTTATTACTCTCCTATTATTCTCTCATTATTATGTTTAGTTCAAAAACAAGGTCGAGCTTTGGTGTGGCATGTTTTATTCCACCCACTTGACTGATAACATTCTCATTGTAATGGAAGAAATACGATTCAAGATGGCCATTATATCATATTGTAGGACAAGATATGTAGATATTCTATAACCTTCCCATTGATGCATTTCCCGCTAATCCCCTTGGCCAAAGTGAGAAAAAAAATCCATTCGCTCCCAAAATCCCCCATTACAATCAATACAAAATGCCCAAAAAGGTCTGGTATCTCCTAACCTAATGTCAAACAAAATTTCCATCAATAACTCCCAGGGCCTGACGTAGAACCCCAATTACCACCCGCTCATTGTTCCAAGTCTTGGGTGTTTCTTCTCCCTTCTTTTGTCTTCGTTCCGTCGTTTCTGATCTATGTGTAGATTGTTCTTATTGTTGTTGATATTGTTGATGATATTGTAGTTATTGTGTTTCATCTATTGCATAATGGCAAAGTCCCAGCCCGGCCGCCGGCTCTCCGACTTGGTCAGGTTGCGCTTCAGGTAGCAGCGGTGGTTGTCGCCCTTGTCGCCCTCGAGGGCGCCCCAGCTGCAGGCCTCGCACTTGGGGAAGCCGGCGCAGTTGGTCATGCAGTCGACCATGGAGGCAGTCCAGACGGTGGTGAGGTCCTCGGCGCCGTCGCCGTTGGCGTAGTCGACGCCGCAGATGCGGAGGAAGGACTTGTCCGAGTTGGGGACGTCGAAGACGGTGTTGTTGGCGGCGGGGCAGGCGGATGAGGATGTGGTCGGTTTGGCGGAGGAGGAGGTTGATGTTGATGTTGTTGATGTGGGCTGGGTGGAGGTTGTTGCCGTCGGCGAGGTTTGAGCACTAGACAAAGCATTAGCATCAATGTGTTGAAGGAATGGGAAGAGGGGGAGGGGGGATCATACTCTGAGCCTGAACTCTTGTTCTTGTTTGATCCTACTCCCACACCGACGCCAACGCCGACTGCGATGGCGACAACAAGGAGGACTAGGAGACCGACTGCAATCATGAATGTGCGTCTCTTGAATCCGAGAATCTCTCGAGGCGGTAGCGGCGCAGGTGGCGCTACATGATCGTATCGGTAGTCGTACGACTGGTCCAACTTCGCTGTTGGTTTTACGTGGTATCCAAGATCGGCGGTGGCCATGGAACCGCCAGCGTTGGATCGGAAATCAGACGTCGCGGACCGGAAGTCAGAGGCAGACGGCGAAGGCGGCGGCGTATCCTCATTGTAGAATGTCGAGTTTGGAGCGCCTTTGCTCGCTCGCTTGTCGCCCACGCTGCTGCCGTCGGACCACAGCATGGCAGCTCTGGGCTTCTGAACGGTCGACGTCGAACTGACACTCGGTCTGGGCGCGGACGATCGTTTCGAATGCGTCGTGGATGTGGAGGGTTTGTGGTACAGGTGGGCGGGCTGTAGGTTGACGTCTCGCAACCGGCCGAGCGTGTCGCTGGCCTCGGACTGCTGGTCCATGGCTGGATACGACGGCGGCTGCATCGCGTGTGTCGGCATCGTGTGTGTGTCGGTCTCAATCGCCTCTCGTTCTTCTCTTGACCAGCCGGTATGGAGAAGAGAGTAGCGCCGCAGCGCGCAGTCAGGCGAAGGAGACTGTGATGGACGCCGCTATCCTCCTAGGCCGACGTGTGCCCCTCGTTCCGTCGCTGGTTGTGAAGTTGTGCAAGCAGGCGAATTGGTCGATGTGCAGTATGTAGGTTCGTGTAACGGCAGAGAAGAAGCGAGTGTGGGATGGATGTCGCGAGAGGGCGAGAGCGCCGGATGTGCTCCCCTGCTGGCCGTGAGTGCGCTAGACCAGGATATCCAGGCTAGATGTCATTGATAGCGTTCTAGGGCACACACACAGGGTTGATATTGCCCGTGACTCTGCGTTGCTGGTCTCTGGGCGGTCGGTTCGCGTACCGGCTCTCAGCCAGGCCTGTGTTCGTGAGACGGTGAGCGCTGGCTACCGGACCTCAGCGGTGATGTGATCAAATCACTTGCAGCGTGACCCATTGCAATGGATGGAGAGATGGAGTGGCAGCATGGGATGGATGGACGGATGGATCCTGGATGGGACGATGAGCCCCTCACCCCCCTGGTCGCAATTTGTTATTTATATTGCGCTACGGCTGGTGAACTCCTGCCAAGCAAGGAATGGGACCAGGCTAATTATCCAGCAGGCAGTGTGCCTTCAATGCGACACTATTTCCAGTCCGGTCCATCCGCTGGATCACTTGCTACTCTCACTTGGCAACGATGGGGCTTTGTGGGAGACGAGCAACATGCGAGCTCCTCGCTGATACACAGTCCCCCTCTGATCCCCTCGGAGCACCCAGCCTGACTCCGATCTGAGTCTCCATCCCCTGCTCGGATGGGCCAATGCTGAGTGTCTCAGACGGATGCTTATGTCTGCACGTTGCTGCCACGCGGGAATGACTAGCGTTGCCCGTGGAAATGAACCCTATTTGGCCTCCTGCGGTAGCGCAGCGATCCCTGCTGCCCTCTCCTGTTACTTAAGCGGCCGTTGGTGACATAGTGCTTGCTTGGCTGCTCAGTGGCCGTCATGGACTTACTGTAGTTGAAACGGCGTAGACAGATCTCCTGCGCGGCTGCCATCATTATTATGACATCGCAGAGACCAAAGGTCTCCCTCAGCCTCCGAATGCCTCTTTCTGGCTCTATGATGCTCGCGAGCGAGTGGGTGAAACCCCCTCAGTGGAAAACGTAAGACACAAGACGCCGCAGACCAGCCTCCACCCTCCACCACCTCCTGCACGGCGATGAGTCGCACCAAGACAGCGTGTGTGTGCCATAGGCTCTGCCCGTCTCCGCGGCCCAGTCTCATGCGTCTCTTCTAACTCGTTGTGAAGTAGCGAGAGGGGGGAGACGGGAGAAGGTTCTGCGGATGAAGAAAAAGGCAGCGCCCGGCTGAGCCCCTGTCAGGTCACCGTCGCAACGGGCGACGGATGGGCACATTGCAACGCTGTGTCACCAGTCCAAGGTGAAGGATTTGCACTATCCATGGCCACCGTCGATTTATTCATCCTCCCGTGAGCACACGTGTCTGACTTGCCTAAGCAATTCAGCGAGAGGGAAAAGGCCTCCCACCAGTTATCTTTCCAGAATTGAGAGAATTGAGAATCCTTTGATTGATATATTCGAATCCTCTCTCCCGAAAGGAGAAGCTGGCACAGAACATGCACCGTGGGGTTTGGTTGCTGCTCGCCCGCATACAAGGGGCATCCCTGCATATTTCCCATCACACCGTCGCTGTCCTGTGAAGTCGCTTTGCCCAGGTCCAGAGGCGGAAGGTGGCTTGGTTAATGGCTAGGCAGTTCCAATGATTCCGCTGCTCAGCCGAGAAGGAATACGACCACCCGCCTGTGTAGACTGTTGGTTGTCCCAATACAGAACCAACCTGCATTGTTCAGTATGCAAGCCAGGTCGCATTCATCATGCGCTCGAGCAGCTGTGCATATCGAAAACGGTTTGGGTTACGCATTCCACCTGCATTGACTAGCCGGTCAGCTGTCAAAGTAGCTCTGCCTCCTTTGTGCGTGTAATGCACGAACACAAATGGTTGAAACGAGGCCATCTACTCACTACTGCACAACGTGTTTTACCTGACAATCCCTACTGATTTATCCATACTGTCGCCAATCCGTCGCCTTTCCAAGAAAGATCCATCCGTACCTTATTCAGTGAACCCTCAACGGCCTCCTCTGACATCACAGACAAGGGGGATCTCATGCTAGATCGACGATCCGTGCCTCTTTGCACATCCGCGCCTCCATCATGTCCGCATCCCTCCAGTAAGTGACCATGTTGGCATGGTAGCAGCTTGACGGCATTAAAATAGTAGCCTATTGTGATCTTCGGTTGTCCACCGATTATGGAGAAGACTACCTACATCATAACTCGTACTTAGCTGTAGCTTACCATTGCATGTCTCGCAGATCTTTCGGATGAGAAACAGGTGGTCAACGCTCGCGGATGATGTCAGCATCCGGCAATTCTGTTTTCATTGAGGATGATCCCTCCCAATCGTCTCCATCTATACATAGAAAGGCCTACATAGTATGCAGTAATCTCCAAGATAATTCTCAGTACATCACAAAGCTGACAAAAGCTGTGCACTAAGGACGTAGCTCACGGAGAGTGAAAAAAAAAAATGCCAGAATCCTGATCAGCGTTGAGCAAGCACCTTGAAAAGCAAACAGTTAATGCAAAAATTGAACCCATCAAACTTCCCAGATATGTTTGCTCAAGTGCAGGCACGTTGTCCATGTTTCATTTTATTCCATTTCTCTCCCTCCGACAATTGTGCAAAAAGCTATTTGCAAGACCTTGAACTCTTGCGATCTTGCACGTATTCATTGTCCTACCAGCATGTTATTTTACAGACAGGATTTTCAATTGTAGTAACATATGAGATCAACACATCACACCAGCTTTTTAAAGTGTTCATCTCCGACATTAAATAGGGTCTCTAATTAACTTTTACTATTATGCCAAACCTAACTAGACCAAATATCCATTGGGCGAATAGCGAGAGAGGGGATGCCGATAATTATAGGGTAGCTAATCCTTAAACCCATTATTTGGCAATTCCTAAAATAAGGAACTTGAGCAGAGAGCCTTAAGCTTAATATCCAGGTCTTTAATATTACTAACTGTAACGATCCGTTTGAGATCGAGTGAGTAAATGAGAATAGTAGTTGGTTATAATGTCTGTTTTAATTCAAATACCAGCGCTATTTTGTGTATAGGGGAACCTAATTTTGCTCTAAGTGAGTCCTATTATGCACAAGTATAAGACAGAAGATGAAAAATCGGGACCTTTCCACGACACTAGAGAGGCTAAGCTTATGTCATAGATAGAAAGTCACATGTATGATACAACAAGTAGGATACCGTTCGATTTAGGTTTCGTGAGAACATGAAAAGGTTTCGAAAATGAGCTTGGAGAGCTGAGAACGATAGGATAAAGGCCGTCAAAGAGTAATGGCTCCACATGGCGGGACTTATCCGTCCATGGTCTCGTTGAAGAAGATATCATCATCATCATTATGGGTTTATTGGAAATTGGTGGGTGTTGCGATAATGTCCATGTAGTTGTGAAACCCTTTAGGTGGCGAGATGAGATTCATGGGTTAAGCGTGGGTCGCGTTCGAGCACAGAAGTTTAGGTTACCTTAACCAACCTTTAAAATCATAATCATGTTCTAGAGGCTTACAATGATCAATGCTGCATATGAACGACTGCAGTTTATGCGAATGTAACCGAATAGGTCCAATGAGAACGAAGGTCAACCTTCCAATCAAACGCGCATGAGGAAGGGCTGACTAAGAGCTACATAAGGCAACCCAACCTGCCCAACGCGACCCAAAATGCCTTTTCTCCTGTCACCATTGAAATCAGCTTGAAGATTGCGTGATAGCGCTCCAAGTATACTTGGACCACCATACTCACGGCTTTGCCCTAGGAAGGCTGTGCATTTCTACTGGTTACTATCAAAAAGATTTTAGTCAACGATGAAGCCATCATTACTCGAACTAGACCCATCCGGGGACACGATACTCGTCTTACAATGCCCGAATTTACAGAGCGGAGAAGAGATACCGGTGAGACAGTGGGACAAGGAAATAGGGGATGGTGTTCTCGTCCCTATGGACGAACCGGAGCCAGATGCTGAGTTGAGAAAGCCAAATAAAAAGAAGAAAAAGTTGGAAAAGAAGAAAAGGAGAGAGCAGAACGTTACTCTCGAGCACGAACCCGCCATTGAACTCGAAGCTACCCCTGAGCCTGAGCCCGAAGCTGTTGCCGAATCTGAACCTGCCATTGAGCCCGAAGCTACTCCTGAGCCCGAAACCGCCTTTGAACCCGAAGCTACTGCTGAACCCGAAGCCGCTCCTGATCCCGGAGCTGCCCTTGAGCTCGAAGCTGCTACGAAACTTGAGCCTACCACTCGAGCCGAACCAAGCGTAGATATAGTGACGGATATATCTGTTCTACGAGAGCTTGATCCCTGGGATGAGTTCGGGGAGCCTATAGAAGTTCGATTACGAGTGTCTTCGGCCCATTTATGTCTTGCGTCGGCTGTGTTTTGGAAAATATTCCGGGGTCCATTTGGAAAATCAACGACCCCCCGAGATGGATGCTACGAGATCAGAGCGTCTGAGTGGGATACCGAGGCGTTTCTTGTCGTTCTGGACATTATACACGGCCACAACCGAAATGTCCCGAGAAATATCAGCCTACAGTTGCTCACGAAAATTTCGACTATTGTGGATTATTATCATTGTCAAGAGTCAGTTGACACATATATCGACATTTGGGTCACTCAATTGGAACGATACTTGCCCAGCTCTTATAACGAAGAAGTCCCAGTCTGGCTGTGTATTTCATGGGTGTTTCGACAATCGAAAATTCTCGACAAAATGGTAGAGTTGGCCGTGATGCAACTTCAGGACCCGCTGGTGATGACAGGGCTTCCCCTTCCTCAACCGATAATAGGTAAGTAACAGCTTATTGCGATACATTGTATAAGTCTTGCTAAAAGAAAACTAGATGTGATCAATGAGATAAGAATGCAATCCCTTGAAAAAATGTTCCAATATCTCCAGGATCTGCAGCAAACTCTGGCAATTGAATCTGCGTGCCCGAGTGGTTGCCAGCCTGCAATGCTTGGAAACTTGATAAGGCATCAGCATAGAACAGGAATAATCGCACCGCAGCTTAATGAAACATATAGAGGGTTCAGTGTCAACGGGCTGTACGAAACGTTGAGAACGTTTACAGGTTCACTACCGGGAAGGCGTTATTGTGGATGTAGCCTTGAGGGTAGAATGAGGCCAGGATTAGATGAAATAGTGCGATCGGCAAAGGACATCAAGGGGGAGGAGCTGTTGGGTGAGCATTGAAAACATGTTTACAAACACGGCCTACAGTGTCTACTTCTGTTAGCAGATGAGTCACTCGTAGCCTAGCATGTACGGGCCTGTAAGTGGAAGGTTCTGGGTGCTTATGCACCCATGAGAGCTGAAGATTACGGGTAAAACACGTCTTTTCCGTTGTCAGTCGTGGCCCTCGGATGAGGTGCCAATTCTAGTCTAAGGACGCTATTTGATTGAATTCATGATCTTGAACGCACCTTGACAACTGGGTGGCGGATACGGTGTAACCGAATTTCTAATGGGATATGTTGAGATCTGGTACGTTCTGAGAACTACTTAGTTTGTCCAACGGGCCCAGGCCTTCACTACCGGTGCTTAAAAGTTGAACAAGAGAAAGACGTGATGGCTTCGATACCGAAATTAATGATTTAGAAGTACAGAAAATACAACGAACTTGATCTACTGTGCAGAACAGGATGTCGACGGATTTGCCTCGTCTGCTGACAGGATAGGATGCAGATTATCAACGCTTCCTAGAGGGAGAACAGATCAGTGAAATAAGTCCACTTTCCCCAAAGACTGACACACCAATGACAGAGATGGAAGCCTACAGGATAGTATAGTCTAACATTGGCTTAGTTGTTGGGAAACAGGACTGGTTCGTGATGAGAACAGCTATCGCGGCTCAGCTCGCCGCCTCCTCTTTTGCAAGTAGCGGGACTTTATGACAAATACCGAGTAGTTCATTGCTCTGGGAAGATAGAGGAATCATAGCCTGCACTGTTCTCCGCCATGAACCGCAAGTACCTACTTAGAGAGAATTTGGAATTCTCCGGATGGGACAGAACAAGCAGCATTGTTCGCTGCCTATATCGTACGAGATATGTAGAACTCACCCTAAAATAGCTGGAGGAGTATGATGCATCCTGATGAATGAAATTGATTGAAATCTGTTTCGTCGAAGATCCAGTTGACCAACATGCTTATTAAGCACTCGGCCAAGATTTGTTCGAGGCGAGATTTTCATAACTTGGTGTTGGTCGAAAGTTCTCTAAAATTAGAAGCTTGAGTGCATAAAGCAGTTACTGCGGGGTATTAAGGATGTCTGAAAAATCCCTCTACCAACACCAGTAGACGATTCAGGCGTGGCGTATCAGAGCTGCCTTTGTTTGAAAACCAACAGCCGGCCCAATATCGTGCAAAATCCCTTCGATCATGACTTGCGTGTTCGTAGTCACTATCAAGTAACGCACTCTGGCTGTTTGATTGTGTTAAGAAGTGTTCATATCTTGTAGGGAAATTTCCTAACCTTCCCCTAGAATCTATTGCTAAAACAATCCCGGGCGGTCATTTAGGAAAGTTAACAGATATAAACGTTTGAATCTGGAAAGAAAATGGAAGAATTGGAAAACGTTGTGCACGATCATGGGGGGCAAGATGCTGAGGAAGCGATCAAGCCTTATGTGGAAGAGGCAAAACAGATAATTACTCTCACGTCCCCCGCCTGCCAAGTGTGTCAAGAGCTGCTGCGGATGTTTGCAGCGAGCGAAGAAAACCCCCCTGCCGAAACTCAGATTATTCTAGGGTCATTCGAAGAAGCCATATCCACCGAATGCCTACGCCACAAGCCTTTGGTGGAGTGGTTTGTGGACTTCTGCGGGCCGAAGGATGAAGAGTCTGAGGAACAACGGTGGGAGCTTGGAGATGTAGGGGACTTGGGGTTTGTGTTCAAAAACGGCAACGTTGAAATCTATCAGTCAGTGTCCCAGCTCGGCTATGTATTTGACCTTGCGCTCGTCAGCAAGTCGCCGTCACATCCAGATCCTATCCGCAAAGCGCGTATCGTCGACCCAATGTATATCGATCTGGACCTTGTCAAACACTGGAAGAACGAGTGCCTGACGTCTCATGGCACTACATGCCAAAACTCAATGAAAATCTGGCACACCCGCCCGGCCTGGCTTGTGGACGTGAAGCAAATGTGTGTTGTCCCCGGCGATGACCCTGCCGTCGGCTCATCGTTTATCGCTCTAAGCTACCACCAGGGATCATCACCCGGCGTCAGTGTCATTCCTGAGCTCATGTTGGACCTACAGCGGCCCGGAGTACTTGATGAAGACGAGGCTGGCAGCTGGGTGTCCCAACTGATGACCCCTATAATCCGACACGCCATCTACCTCACCTCGACCCTTGATGAGCGGTATATCTGGGTCGACGCCCTCTGCATAGTCCACGGCGATGGAACAACTACTGATCAGTTAGGCCTCATGGGAGCCATCTATGCTAGCGCAACGGTGGTCATTATTGCCGCGGACGGCGACGCGCAGGACGGCATTTCTGGTCTCAGAGGGATATCTCAATCATGCCCTCGAGAGTTTGAACAACACTCATTCCCATTTGAGGATGAGGAAACAATTGTTGCGAGACATCTTCAGCGAATTGGATTTTTTGGCGGCCTATACTTCAATCGCGGCTGGACATTTCAAGAGTATTGGATGGCCAGCCGCAAAATCCTCTTTCACGGTGGTCTGGCACACTGGGAGTGTCAGTGCAGCCAATGGCATGAAGATCTAGCTCACCTAGAACAGCTCTGTACATTCATCAACCCATGGCTTCGTGACATTTTGGCTGGGTTCCCGAACCTCGGCTTGCTGGGCAGTATCATCAATAGATACAACCAACGGGAGCTCCGATACGAAGAGGATGCGCTACCTGGGATCACCGGTCTTCTGTCAGTCCTCAGCCGTTCATACACCGGTGGCTTCTTATATGGAATCCCGGAAACTTTCTTCGACCGGGCCATTGGATGGACGGTACCATCGTGGGAGATGGTACGGCGTGTGTCCTCAGATCGCCCTAATCACCTGAAATTTGCAGCGGGTTTGCCCTCCTGGTCTTGGGTCGGATGGCAAGGCGACGTCGATGTCGGAGAAGAGGCGCAGCGCATCAATCACCGGAAGACGTTTATCACCGAGACAATCCCGATCACACAGTGGTACACCGGGGACTCCCCAACGACTCCTCCACAGGCACGCCGGCGGATACGGTCGAGTTGGTATGACCAAAGAGACACCTGGAAGAAACGCGCCGCAGAGCTCGCCTCGCCATTGCCGGACGGATGGACCCGCTACGAGGTCAAACCTGGAGACAAACTGGAATTTGACAAGCGGGAATTTGACGAGCCACTCCTGTGGCCAGAAGGATGTGGAGGATATGTATATAAGCACGAAAACTTGCGCGGGGCCGACTGGGGCCCTACAGATGCCTTCTTCTATCCCTTTCCTGTACCGAAGATCACGGAGTCGACCCCTCCTGAGATGCCCAAGCAGACGGCGTATTTATTCTGCACAACCCAACGAGTGCGTCTCTGGACTCGTGGGCAGAAAATCGAAACCAAACACGGCGAAAACACCAACTGCATATACCTAGATGATGAGGTGGGCGGTAGAGTGGGCACCCTTCGACTACATAATGAAGATCAGTTGGAATGGCTGGAAGCTGAATCGGCGGGCACTGAAAGGGGTGTGCAACTTGAGCTTGTGGCGATCAACCGGGTGCTGACGTGGGCAAAGACCTTCAGCGAACAACTGCAGAGGTATGCCCCCCCTCGCTGGACTAAAGATGAACGTACGGTCTTGTGGATAGAGTGGGAAAATGGGGTTGCGTATCGCAAAGCAGCGGGCCGTATCGGAAAGTCGCATTGGGAAAATCTTCATCTTGAAGATGTTGAATTGGTCTTGGGATAACTCTTTGGGGTCTCCAAGACAGACACACTAATTTCTCATAAACAATACTCGTAACAATAAGCTGTAAAGAACTTTTCGCTTATTATTGTATTTGTTACTAGGTTGATTATTTCAATATTGTGTTGAGAATAATGGCAGAGGTTCCGGGTATGGTATGTTTTTTTTGTCAGCGCGTCGCCTTCGACATTGTGGGGAGGGTAGTTTCTCGTGACTCCATTCTTGACTCCCTCGATAAGAGGATGGGTGATCGCCTTCGTGACGAAGGAGTCAAGCCCTCGATGCTCTGATACATGTGGTTCGAGCTTTCGGATGGGGGTTATACGTATCTGAGAATCGCGGGAAAGTGTGGAAGCTTCTATGACATCCTCACCAGCCTTTTCCACCGGATGTTATGGATTGGAAGTAAGGACGATATCGAGATGTCACTCGATAACTTTGTCTCATGCGATGATGATGATACTGGTGTCAAGAAGCCGGCTCTTGCTACTCGTAAACCACTGTTGGAGCGCTCGGAGGATGACGCAAAATGGTTCGCGGCAGCCATTATGTGGGACATATTATTTGTTAAGCAAGGTAAGGATGGTAAGTTATGAGCCTTTCATAACGTGAGATTAAGTCCCTTGATAGGACATTTGGAAGCAATGTGGCGATTTAAGCTGGAAACAACCACAAGAATTGCTAGATATTATTAAGTTCAGGAACGGACAAGTTTCTGGCTGGCTGTTTGCAAGCGTGCAGCTACACAGTTGCAATCAGTGTCAGGTCTGTTCTCGGAGAATTCGTCACAATAGAAGCATCGTTTACCATCATTCAACTCGGGAGACGATCAGTGGGGGTTGTTGATCCTTCCAAGAATTTATTATGGCTGAACTTGTAAAGGTTTGGTCCAACCAAAAGTAGTGGCTCAACACATTGGGTAGAGTGTCCCATTAAAGTCTGATAAAGCAGCATCAGCTGATCACAGAGAAGCTTCTTCAAGATCTGATCTAACCGGGCCATCAAGTGTCTCGGAAATAACCATGAATGTATTACATAAACTCGGATCATTTGCAACATTATCATTCGTGGTCTGGCGAGAAAGGCTGGGGAATATGTATAAGAGGAAAGTAGAAAGAGACGTGCGGGATCAAACCACCCAGAACGGCCTGGGAGCTAGCTTTTGAATGGCCACACGAGTCAAACCGAGGCGGAGAAGCCCAGTTTGTTCTCGCTTGTTCCGACTAGGGCCTGTCCGTCTGACACCGTTCCGGCACCGGATCGGAATCTGAGCCGCGTCTTTCACCTCGCCCCATCTGACAGCGGGTCAGTTTCCTCCCACTGCCAATGGAAAAGCAAGTCTGCCTGTTTTGGGAAGTTCTAGTGAGACCAGCCAAATCTCTTGCATCGACTATACACATGACCTCTCCACGGCCGGCCGTTGATAACGAATATCTAGCCACGTTGCTACACAACATCCTGATCTTCTTCCACGTCTCCTTTTCTTGCACCACAGCGTTCTGTATTCTTCATCGCACTGCCCAGCATGTCTGACTCCCCTGACGGCATCTACGAGAAGGGTCTCATCGACCCCGGATTCCCCGTGGCAAACTCCACCCAGCCCTTCTGGCTGACAGAACCATCGGTGCACAGCAAGCTGCAATCACCATGGCCCGAGTCGGTGGACATCGCCATCATCGGCTCCGGCATGACTGCTGCCAGTCTCTGCCAAACCCTCTACTCCAAGAACCCCAATCTCAGAATCGTCCTCCTTGAGGCCCGCGATCTCTGCTCGGGGGCCACCGGCCGCAACGGAGGCCACATCAAGGCCATGAGCCCCGGGTCGTGGTTCGAGCGAAAGGAGCAACTCGGGGTGCAAGAGGCAGTGCGCGTCATGGAGTACGAGCATAGCCACCTCAAGGAGATGGCCGACTGCATCAAGACGAACAAGCTCGACTGCGACCTTCAGGAGATTGAAGGCCTGGACGTCTACCATGATGAGAAGGTCTTCCGCCATGCGCTGGATGCCGTCGAGGACATGAAGAAGCACGCTCCTAGCCTCGGCGAGATCTACCGCGTCTACACGGCAAAGGGGGATCTCAAGGCCCGAAACTGCCCAGAGGAGTGCCTGGGAGCCATCGGGATGCCCGCCGCTTCCATGTGGCCTTACAAAATGGTCACGGGGCTCTTTGACAAGATGATCCGCGAGAGAGGTCTCTTGATCGAGACCAACACTCTTGTCACAGCCGTCTACGACGAGGATGACCGCAGGTTTGCCACCGTGAAGACCAACAGAGGAGAGATCCGAGCCACCCACGTCGTGCATGCCACCAACGCTTGGGTCAGTCGACTCGTGCCAGAGCTGCGTAAGTTCGTGTCTCCAGTAAGGGCCAATGTCCAGCGCCAAGTGCCTCGTCCGTCCAAGGCTCGATACAGCAACTCATGGTGGATCCGATACGGAGAGCATGATTATGAGTACATGATCCAACGGCCAGACGGCGCATATGTCATGGGGCGAGCAGGCACTGGCCGCAGGGCTACGGCAGACGATAGTTCGGTTGACTTCCTGGCTCACAAGCATCTCAAGGCGGTCACTCCTCAAGTGTTTGACTTTGGCACCAAGGACATTGAGACAACACATGCCTGGAGTGGCGCTGTTGCTTTCACGTCGGACGGCAATCCGTTCATCGGTAAGCTGCCGTTCCCGGGCCGCCAGCACCAGTGGGTTTGCGCCGCGTATTCGGGCATTGGAATGGTGAGGGCGTTCAGGTCTGCCCAGCTCCTGGCTTTGCTGTTGCTTGGAGAAGAGGTGCCAACCGCGTTCCCTCGCTCTATGCTCCTCACAAAGTCGCGTGTTGAGGATCGGAGAGACACAATTTCTAGCAAGCTGTAATCTATAAAATGAACGCAAGAGATATGAAGGAATTTCATGATGACTACTAGAAATTTGACTTGTTAGCTAAAGAAGCTGAAATACAACTGTGCTGTCAGCTTCGTTTTCTGTAAAATGAAGTGAAGATTCGATAGTGAGCCATCAACAATGACCTTGGCGAGTGGTCTCCGTACCATCAACTTAGAATGTTGCTTGAAAGTATAAACATGGGCTTTTTTTCCAGTATGTCGATTGCAAATTTTCTCTTTGCCATATTCGAGACATTCATGCCCTTCGCTCTTTTAATTAGGTTCTGAATCATAGAGGTGGCTATAATTTTCTAATCCAGTAGGCTATTTCCAATGGAGCAAACCAAACTTTGAGGGCGAACTCGAAAGCTAAGCCATTATACAGAAGTCTCCGGACCAGACACCCTTCTTCTGCGTCTTCTGGGGAAGATCTTCAGGCTCTGGAAGGAGACCCTCAAACTACCAAAAACCCAGAATCACTTCCCGCAACAGTCCCAGTCGCATTTCCATCCTTCATCACCCACAAGTACGCCTCCACCACATCCTCCACTTGGCCAAACTTGCCCGTCGGCACCGTTGCCTCCGTATTCCTCACAAACTCAGCCTTGACTTCATCACTCATCATGCCCCAGAGCCCCGTATCAATAAACCCGGGAGCCACCGCATTCACCCGGACGGGCTTGAGCTCCACGGCAAGCTGCCTCGTCACGGCCTGTAGTCCACCGGAGAAATACGACCCTAGAGCCCACCCCGGGGTGCTCTTCCACGCGGCGCTGCCAGACGTCAGGGTCAGGGAGCTCTCGCGAGATGGAGGGAGATATCTGTCGGCTACCTTTGCGGCGAGCAAGGGAGCCACAAAACGCATCTGGCAGGCAGCAAGGATCTTCTTAGGGGTCATATCCTGCAGCATCGTGAGAGACAGCGCATCTGCCGCCGTGTAGACGACATGGTGGATCGTTCCTGCCGCTTCGACTGCCTGCCGAAACACGGCGTCTAGCTGGTTCTCGGCGTCCTCCCCTGCTAAGTTTGCGGTGAACCCCTGGACCCTCTGGTCGGAGTGAGCGGTGTAGCTGCTGAGCTGTGAGACGGCGGTGTCTATCTTGGCTCGTGAAGAAGATGTGATGGTCACGAAACCGGCTCCAGAGACAAGGGACGCTTCTGCGATGCCAAGTCCGATCCCTGATGAACCGCCAATGATGATGACATGTTTGCCTTGGAGCTTGTTGTATTTGGAGGAAGAAGCCATTTTGGACTCTTTTATATCTCTTGACTCTTAAATTATTTGATTTTCCACTGGTGACTGAAAAGATGATGAGAAAGGCGACAGGCTGCTTTGTGAGTGATGATTATCGTGTCTTGACTACACGACTAACACCTATTTATCCTCCCGCCGCCTTGACACCAAAGCACCCCTAATTCCTATCCCCGGATATCGAAAGTCGCGAACCTTCATCAGCTTCAAAAAAGCGCCAAATCTCAATATGCATGGTGTTGAGATTCTCTAAGCCTTGATAGCCACTTCCGTCATCCGCTCACGCACTTAAGGCCAGCCCACCCGGAGTTAAAGGCCAGAGCCGATGCAACCACCAGCTACTGACCCGTTAAGACCGGATTGCGAGCTGGCACAGAATCCCTCTTCTTTTGAGATGATGTCTTATGCAAAACGCGAGCGATAGCTGCCCTTTGCCGATTTCAAGATGCGCAAAAGAGGCTCGGGCGAAAGAGCTCAGCGGCCTTAGCCCAGAAGGTATTGCATGGCGCCGCTCCTTTCTCCTCATGAATCGGCATCCAGGTACCATGAAGCTGCCAATTCCAGTTGTGTACCAAGTGAGAGACATAGTGTTTGGCTAGAAGTGTTTCCACTAGGGAAACTTAGATAATTACACACATAGCGTAAGCGTAGGCATCAATATCCCAAGTAGTAAGTGAGGGAGCTGTACAGCTGCTGAAAAAAAGGGGGGGGATTCCTAAACACCAGTAATTTGATAACTTGACACCATACCCAGGTATCACAACACATTAAACTTCACCCTTGTGTCCGGCTACGAGCCTTGTGCCCGGCCGTATCTAAGGTTCAACACCAAAATAACTGTACCCAGCCGTATCGTACATAAGTTTTATTAATACCAAAGGCTATCAATTTCTCAAAAGCTCTAATAAGGCTAACCAGTATACACGGGAGAGTTTGAGTGTAGTCAAGAACAACAATAGAAGATGCCAGATCTGGCATCTCATGGGTATAATGAATACGAAAGGTTAAAAAAAGACTTCGCTAGCCCAAGGCTGCAGTCATGCGGAAGGCAAAAGTAAACCTTCATACTGATGACTCATTTGCTGTCAGGACGAGCCGCTCGTCGAATGACTATAAAACCTACCCTCTTTCCCTGGCTTCTTTCCTTCCTTCGTCTTACACCGACCCAGACACTTCAACACACTTGGCTCAAGACAACCAAACCAGTGGGTATCGGTAGCCCCTTGGCCATGCTAGCCCATGCAACTCAGCTATAGCCCCCAAGAGGGGAAGCCCATCACCACCAACCACAACCACCTCTCCAAGCAACAACAATGAAATATCAGTATCTTTGTTGATATTCCTACGTCCCACGGCCTATTCAGGGCTTATGACCAAGCCCTCAAAGATATGATGACGATGATCAGAGATAAAGCAGCTCTATTCCGAGCCAATCAGTCGGGGGGCCTACTTGGGGAGACGAAGCCGCCTACAAGACAACAGTCACCCACTGATACGTACTTATCGCATCCCGATATATATCTTGTGGTTCCAGTGTTTTAGATGCTGTATCGAGTTAATCTAGGCGAAGGCGGCCCTCGAAGGTTAAATTCAAGCTTCACTCAATTCTAAGGTATTCCAAGGACTCGGGTTTAGATTGTGCTGCCCTGATCTGAAACTAAACCTGAGAATTGAATGAAGCTTGAATTTAACCTTCGAGGGCTGCCTCCGCCCGGATTAGTTCCATACAGCATAAGATATACGGGAACCACAAATAATATGTCGGGTTGTGATAAGTATACCTAAGCGCTCAATACCTATATCGATGTAAATAAGGTACGCATTAGCGTTTCAAGTCTGACTGCCAACAAAAACCCATAGAACACCATTCAGTTAGCTATGCCTTAACCTTTAGTAAGGTAACTATATAATAATGATAGCTGGAGATTCTTTGCTGTTTAACAGAAAATACCATCGTAAAACAAACTCTTCATCATCATCATCTCAATGTCGCCTCTATGCGTAAGCTTCATATGCTCAAATAAGTATTCAGTCGTTCAAGTTGGGAAATTACCCATGCATTGTCCCAGCCTGTTCTAGAAGAATCTAATCTCCTTTACGAGGTCTTCCGCCACAAGTTCCTGGATAGCAACACCACGGTGGAAATAATCAGCCTAGAGGCAGCTCACCCCGTCGCTATTAAATCAGGTCACGTTCAAAGCACCATACGTCTCCGGGCTCTCGAGTGCCCTTCAGAACGCCGGAGCGGTGTCGAAGGCCTGTTCTCTCACGTCGTGGTGACAACCCTTCAACTCCTTCAGAGTACCCCCGACACCGTTGTTATAGGTGTTGATATAGCCGCGGAGTTCTGCACCTCCTTGGGCGCGCCAAGGACCCCTGGTGCTTGATCAAATGCCAGCATGCGTCAGGTGGTTGTCGTTCCTCGTGTGAGGACAGCAAGACTTACGAGGTAGTGTGAAGAGGGCAAATATTCTGAGACCGTTGGTGTAGAGGGTCTTCAGCAACTCTAAGTATCCTTGCAGAACTGCCTCGATAGGCGGCTCCTCATCGACGGTGGTGTTCGTGACGGCAAGGTCGTAAGACAGGGCGAGGGATGATTTGGGCTGCGAGAGCATTTGGCTGACTTAGTTCAGACCACCGTTGGTGGTAACCCTGGGAGGTTAGGATTTCCGATGGAGTTGGCGGGTGAAGGGGTTTCACCGAATGCCAAGGACCCAGTTGTTGAACATGGATCACCACATTTTTCTCCTCAATGAATTTTTGCTACAATCAGAGTGCAGTGAACATACAAGACCATTAAGTACTCGTTCGAGTGGGCATAGCTAGCTGAAGTGCAAGCCAATAGGCAAACCAACAAAGACAGTCCGGTGATTAACATGCTGATGGCGAGTTGTGCTCCTTCATGTTCGACTTCAAAATTCGACATGGGATAATTCCCGACGCCCTATACGCATCTTATAATCTACGTTGTCCCCTTGCATCTTCCGATCGTACCTGGATCCGTCAAGAGCCCACAATACCGCTTGCGTTGCATTGCAGATTCCTTCTGCATCGCCCACGCAGTCAGACGCAGGGTCATCCGCATCGGCCGGATGGGAGCAACTGGATCTAGTTAGTGCAGCTGCATGTGAGCCTGAAGGAATCTTGGGCGATGACGACGATGTAGAAAGCATCCTCTGCAGATCACGAGAGGCGGAGTGAGCCTGAAGGTTTTCGGCCCCCTGCATGTGGAATACTACGGGTGGACGCCACACTATAGTCCACTTATGTGAACCTTTGGGGCAGACTTTCCATTTTGTCCTAGACTTTTGCGCATTAAATTACTCTCTATGCTATTACGCCCCTTGAGTTTTATTGTTTGAGTGTCTAGTATATTTCGCTGTATAATATCTATGGCCTTGAAAGCAGAAGACTCTCACTATACCAGTTACAGCGCTGTCTAAATCATATCTAAACACAAATTTAAAGAGATAATGGTCTATCCAGCAAGGATGTCTTCTCATCTACACAGTAAGATATATTCATAGTATGGAGTCTATTCTTCAACCTATAGGCATCCACAGTTTCGGGAGTGGCAACTTCGGTAATGTCCCATTTCGGAATGGCACCTCGGGATTATGGATAGATTTACTGCAGGTGGTGTTCCTTCCAATCAGATCAGATCAGATCGGACTGCCAAAAGTACCCAAGGTCAAAGGATCGGCTGGGTCGCAGAATCTGACATCGGAGGCTTTTAAGGTTGATGGGTGTGTCACATGACAGGGTGTGAGGAGTGGACGTCCAACGACACACCCTCAACATGCCAAGTGGCCAGAAAGAGACAGTTGCAGATTTGATCGTCGACACGTCATAAATCACTGAAATAACAGGGAACCATCATGAAACTCTCCACAAAGCGGGCAAAAACGACAACGACAACCATTCCAGTTTACCTCCCAACTCACGCCTTCAACTCCTCGAAAACCAACTCCAAGTCACCCGGAAGAGGAGTCAGCTGATCCTCCAGCAGCTTCTCCGCGTGCATCTCATCGACGCCCGGGGGGAAAGAGATTTTATACTTGGTGAGGAGCACGGCAATCGTGAGCCTCAGCTGGGCCTGGGCAATCCTCTTACCAGAGCAGGTGTATCGGCCTATGAAACGGTCAGCTTAGTTTCCAAAATACCACGACAATGACCTCTTTGCTTACCTAGAGACCAGGGGGCATGGGCCCTCTTATCCTTGACCAACTCGGGCTTGCTATACCAGCGTTCAGGAATGAAGTTGTGCGGGTCCTCAAATGCTTCCTCAACTAATGTCAAGTGATTGTGTTAGCAGTAACCATTAACTCGGGATCAATATATGATAGGTTCATGACTTACGCCGTCCAATGCTCCAGCGTGGAGCAAAGATCTTGACATTACCGGGGATATACACGCCATCGCAATCAAGGCCCTCTGGTGGTGTCTGCCGCGATCCAAAGGTCGGTCCCGCGGGGAAGAGCCTCATGGTCTCGGTGATCACGCCGTTGATGTGTGGCAGCGCGGCCAGAGCGTTCGGGTCGTTGTAGTCTACGCCGCGCAGCTCCTCGCGGATCTTGTCCATGTTCTCAGGGAAGCGAGCGAGGCAGTACAAGATGAGGATGAAGATGGGGCCGGTGGTGCTAACTACGTGTCAGTCTACTATCCGAGAGGGCATTGGACTTTAGAAAGATATGCTCACCTTCCTGCTATAAACATGACGCCAGAGTCGCCGAGGAGGGCTTCATGGCTGATCTTGTCTGCATCTTCGCGTTGAGTATCCTCAATAAGGAAGGATGCCACGTCAAGCCCGTCTGGCTTGGACTGAATTCGGGGTTTTGTCAGTTGAGTTGAAGTGCAGAGCGGAGATGAGAGGTGACACCTTACCTTCATCCTCTTTTCGACGATACCAATAGTGTACCCGAATAAGTTCATCCAGTACGGGAGCCTCCAGACCCCCGGGCAGAGAGAAAGTGCTAATCTAGTCATCCAGGGCACCGGGATAGTTTGCCCAATGATAGTCAATGCATTACCGACAGCGTTAGCCCCCTCCCTGGAGTTCATATCCGTTGTGCCAAAGCCAATGTCGGCGATGATGTCAAACGACATGTCATATATCAAGTCGTTGACGACGAAGGGTTTGCCGGCCCTCTCATTAATGGCGGTCTCGAACTTCATAATATGATCTGAGATCCTGTGAACGTACTCCTTCATGGCTGCGAAATCAGGGTTAGCAAAGAGACGGTTCGGCATGTCGGACTCCAGAACCTACCGGCTGGTGAAGTTGCCTTGTTCCAGACCTTTGCGCGGGCAACATGAATGGCAGGGTCCCTGCTGAACACGCCGACGGTTGGGTAAAGGAGATCATACCAATCAGATCTGGTATTGGAATTCTGGGGCGCATTGAGGTATTCAACCCCTGCGGGGTGATAGATGGTGATCTCATTGGGACCTTACAGACAGAGTCAGTGAGACGCGACCAAGGCAGAATAGAAGGGGAACTAACCAGTCCTGACAAAGGGGCCATAATGGCGCCACGAGTCCAGAACAAGATGGTTCTTAGCATTCCGGACCTTCCACAGGTGCCACAGCTTCGTCACAGCGGACAGGCGAGGGCCAGGGAAGGACCTCAGCCGGTGGAAGAAGAGCCTGTACACGCTGATGCTCCCGAGCAGGCCGAAGAGGTAGGCCGCGATAGGTATCGCCGAGACGTACCACAGCGCGGGGGCAATCAGCAGCTGCCTGGCCAGCACGAGAGCAAAGACGAGGGCATGGCCCGAAGCGACCGTGGCTGCATACAGGTTCCATTCGCCGCGGATGAACAAGCCCAAATGCAGGGTGACGCCTAGGATGAGGGGCGCGACGACCTGCGGGAGCTCTGGGGTCGCGATTAGGTCACCCATGGTGGGTAAGATGGAGGCGAGACGAGATGAGATGAGACAATGTAGGGCTGAGTCTGAGATGTAAGTTTGGTCGACCGTGTACGGGAGATGTAATGTGAAGATTCGAGCTTTCTATACTAACACCAGCGGTCTATATGCGCGCTTTGCTTGCTCTGTTGGCCGTGCTTTTTTTTTCTCCCCATTGCCCTTGGATTCTTCCAGCCCTCTGCCCAATCGCAGGGGGCATGTTGGCAAGCGACCTCCATGTAGATGCGAAGCAACGGGTCCATGTGGCAGGGGGGAGGTCATCTGTTGGTGCTGGACCAACAGACAGTAGCATTCACTCTTCGGACCGGGTAACTCGCCCAGAGAGAATCCTTCGTTCTGCAACTAACAGAAAGAGGCCCCAGTCACACTTTGGTCTTTTGTCGTCTTCTCACGAGCGTGTACGTCCTTTGTCCTGATCCGGGATATACCGTCGATAATCGCTTCACCCACGCGACCGACCCGCAGGGGTGGTGCCAAGCGCTGCAAAGGATGAGCCCATACATGTCCCATGGTCTCTCACCTGTCCCAGGGTTTACTCACTAATCCCAGGGTCTGTAGCAAATCTCACCTCCTCAGGATCCCACACTACGACGTTCAGAGCAGCCAGCCCGATTTCTACGCCTCACGGCTGCAGTAGACTGTAGAGAGCAGTGCCCCAGCATGAAGGGCGTGTAAGCGAGGACCTTCGGGTCTTTTCCATGTGTCTGACAGCTGGGGTCCGAGAGGGTGGAAAAGGATCCATGTCCCTGTTTGATGACGATTGCCCCTCTCCCCATTTGAGTCTGAACGTGCGACCCCGCGAAGAGACCAGCGAGGAGATTAGGTCGAGATGCGCGGTCTAGATGCTGACAGCGGGGTGTCAGCATCATTTCCAAGAGAACATGCATACTCTTCTACATGAGATCTGTAACACGTGTCGACATTATGGGGGGTACTTCAGACATGAAGATAACAATGTACAAAGAACCAAGTATTCGTAAATCCGCTCCCAAAGAAATCATAATGTAATCATAATCATAAGCCTCTTCATCTCAACGCCCCCTCCAATCCTCCGTTCGCGTGGTGTAAGTCTGCCCCCGGCTCGTCTTGTAGATATTATGACTACTCGGCGCTCTATCACCGCGCTCAACGTCCTCCATCGCGACGTGCCCGCGCAGCTCGAGCTCGTCCTCGCTGTTACCGCCCCCTCGGGAGCCCAGCGTGGTCATGCCCGCGCCGCGCGAGCCCATGTACTTGGCCACGGTGCGCGACAGCTTGCCGTCGCCAGTCTTGCCGCCCGAGGCACCAAAGGTGAGGACGCCGCCCTTGGAGCTAGATGCGGCGGCGGTGGTGGCATGAAGGGAGGGGCCGCGGAAGTGGTGGTACAGCCGGGAGATGAAGGGCATGCAGCCGACGAACATGACGATTGAGATCTCGGTCGTGCTGGAGGGTGTTAGTGGTCAATTGGTAATTCCGGGGGGTCAATTGGTCATAATGGAGGTATCAATTGATCATGTGGAGGGATCAATTGGTCGAATCAAGGGACTTACACAATCATTGCGAGCTTGGTCAGCCACCAGGTCTGGTCAATGTTGGTGAGGAGCACGACACGGATGTACATGCCTCCAATGCCTGTCCCAATCGCACTATTCACATGCTATTAGAAAAAAGAGCAAGCGATAAGCTTGGAGGGGGTCAGACATACATTAGACTGACGCCAAAGACTGCAAAGGCTGCCAGCTTACGCTTAATGGGCATCGAGAGGTGCCAGATGGCCCAAGCCGGGATGAGCAGGGCCTCGACATCGGAGATGATGTTGAGCACCCCCGAGCTGAGGTTCACCTGGATCGCATCCGTACACTTACCTTCCACTGTGTCGCCGAGCCATATCTTTTCCCGCGGCCAGCACTGGAAGACGTAGGAGAAGAAGAGCCCGAGGTAGAAGATGATGTTGATCACGATGGATACCACTGCAGGCCAGTCAGCGGTGCCACTAGCTCACGCCGCGCGCGCATTACGCACCTATGACCCAGTAGATGGAGTTCCTGGCCCCGGTGGTGAAGATGGACTTGAGCTGGAACAGCACCGAGAGCTTGGCGGCGGCCGTCGGGACCGAGTAGATGCAGTACACGATGTTGGTCCAGTACAGGATGCTGGGGATCTGGGCCAACGTGATGTCGTACATGTGCCGGGTGAGGCCCATCCGGGACAGGTGGATGATGACAGCCACATAGGCGACGAAGGAGGCGTAGGCGAGGTAGCTGAGCCAGTCCTCGACCCGGTTGCCAGGGATGATGAAGAGCTTGACGAACAGCCGGGCGGACAGGCCTACGGTGGCCAGGACCAACACGAGCGCCGACGTGACATAGACGGCGGCCAGTTGGTCGGGCGGATCTACGAAGTTCGAGCTGGTCCCCGGCGGTGGAGAGATGACTGATGTGTTGGTCGGGTCCATGTCTGCGTCTGCAGGGCTAAGGCCACTCGCTTGACGGTCGTGTGGTGTGGTGGGGAGAAGAAAAAGCCCTCACTCGTATGTCGTATGAGGCGTCAAGCATGACAGGAGCTGGTGGTCTTATCCAGAGTGTGTGGGAGGCGAGAACAAGCCCTGTTAGCCGGCATCAATGAGAGAAGATCTCTCATCCGAGCGAGGTCTCCAGCCGGAGGTATAGCTACATTTAAACGGCACTCACACACTGCCCACGAGGGAGGCGGGGAATCTACTTTGGGACCACGGGAAAGGATTCTGGCCTGCCACCTTCTCGTTGCAGCCGGGTAATATCCAGACCCAAGGTATCGAGAGATGCCATATCTGGACACCCCCGACGTGGACGCAGCTCTGTGCCTGTGAGGGTAAGGTGGCAGAGTTCCACGTTGCAAACTCCACTGACTTACCGAATAGTTTCATGGGTTCATTTATATCTCTCGGCGTTCCCAAAGCTCCAATCGGCCTTAGAGCCTTGCCAATGCAACCCTCCAATGCACAGCTGACCCTTTTGGGCAGCGCATCAGAGCCGCATTGAGTCTAGATCCAGACTATGCGAACGCTGATCCTCTTCTGATGCAACTGCTCTTCCACATATAGCATCTCTGAGCAGCTCCATCCAGGCCCGACCGCTTGTACTGCGGGTAATAAGCACTTATGCGCGCGCGATCTGCAAACGACTCGAACATGTTCACGTCAGCTGAGTACCGAGGATATTCTATTCCGATGTCGAAAGTGGTTGTAAGATATTCTACTCCGATGTCGACAGTGGTTTGTAAGAATGGATTCATGGTTCGCCCTACGCAGTGACAGACCATCATACGGGAAGCACAAGCCACTCCCGCCTTCTTCCAGCCCTTTAGCCTCTTTGTCTAATGTCTCATCTCGTGCCGGGCCGGCCTAGGACCAGGGGTGCCCATCCTTGCCGAGCTTAGCGTTTAGGAATGCCCGACTGAGCAGGTTCTCTCCAACAATCTGGTCCTTGTGCGCCTCCATCTCCTCAATGTCCCCTTGAAACGCATGTCAGCGCACTGGCCATGTTGAAACACTAAAGGTAAGGCAGACTCACAGTTTACGCTCACTATGCCGCCGCGCAGGAACTCGGCCCGCGGGGTGGACAGGAAGAGCGTCCAGCTGGCACTGAGCTCCGGGGTGTCCTTTGCGTACGGCATCAGCGACTCGAGCGTCATGTCGGTGTCGACGATGCCCGGGATGAGGGAAAAGACGCGAATGCCTGCGTGCTCAGCGTGCAGGTTCTCCATGATGCGCGCGAGGGCCAGCTTGGAGGCCGTGTAGCCCGCCATTCCCGGAAACACCATGCCAATGGCGCCCGTGGTGAAGCTCACGACGGTGCCAGCGCCCTCAGCCTGGGCGAGGAAGTGGTGCGTGACCAGATAGGTGCCCAGCACGTTGACCTGGAAGTCAGTGAAGAAGCTAGATATCTCGACGCCGCCGATGGGACCCCCATTGAGGCTGCCCGCGCTGTTGATGAGCACGTCAACCTTACCGACGGCTTCTTTAGCTGCCGCCCAGAGCTCGGTGACGGACGCCTCGCTCGTGATGTCAGCCGTGCGGGCGAGGATCTTGGTACCGGGCGGGGCGAGGGAGCGGACCCGGGAAGCGACATCCTCGAGGACATCTCCCTTGCGTCCCGTGAGCACGAGGCCGGACGCTCCCGCAATGGCCCAGGATTCGGCGATGGCCTGGGTGGTGCATCGCAATCGTATGTTAATCACGCAAGGGAGAGATTGAGTTGACGGGGATCGTGACATACCTTGCCTATACCCCCAGACACGCCGGTGATTAGCACGGTCTTGCCCTCGGCCGACAGCTCAGGCTGGGTGGGCTCCAGGAGCGGGTAGACATCGCGCCGGATCGTCTTGGTCAGCTGGAAGGGCAGGGTGAAGGCGTTGGGGTCGGAGTAGTCCATGGTGTTGATGTTCTTTCTTTCTCCTTTTTTTCTCTTCGTTGGCGGTTTTTCCTCTCTTTGTTCGTGGGATTGTGAGAGTCTTTGAATCAATTGATCAATTGAGAAACACAGTCATCAAATCTATCAGCGGCCGCCTGTCCGGGGTTGTCAGATGTAAGAGCCCGAGCTTCAGTTTCATTGATGCGAGTGTGTTTGGCCCACTCACACGTGAAGCCTCGAGCATGACAAATTCACCACCTCTCGACTGTTGCCTCCCTCGTGCATTCTGCTCCTGCAGTTGGCCCGTTCTAAATTAAAAGGTGACATCCGTCAGCGGCACGAATCCTGCAGCCTCGCATTCACCGTCTCTAGCAGACGCAGACCCCCACCGGCTCATGCATGAGGTGGTATTGCTCTTCAAGGTTCGCTCGCCCCCTGCATCCCGTGGCGAACACGCGCCTCGGCTCGTCATCTGGCCCCCAAGAACTGGTCAGATCCAGAGCTGACCTCGAAATCGATAGCGCCGAAGATTAATTCCCGAAGTATAGCTCCTCCCCGAAGGATGGATGCCATGTGCGGAGAATGGATGCCATGTGCAAGGACATGCCACGTATCTCAGAGCGATGACATCTCGAAGGATGCCATCCGCTCCGCCCCATGAGGGTAGCATGCGCAATATATCGGCCACCGTCGAACCCCTGGCTGATAGACCCTGTATGGTGGAGTTGCCTCAGCGTTGATCTCCAGGGATCCGGTCCGCCCACGAGGCTTTTTGGTTGAAACTTGCGGATGGAGAGTGCGGCATGTCTGGCCATCGTCTCAATCGCCCTCGTGGGTACGCCCTCGTGGGTGCCAGCGGTGAGGTGAGGTGATTGAGGAGAATCCCGGGAAGAAGAAGCTGATAACGCAAATCCTGGTAACAAGGGCACCATCGCGAAGGGGGATAGGACGATATCCCGGGATGTCCACATGGCCGTTCCCACGTTTCCAACTCCACCGTAGACGTAGGAACTTGGGTTCAGTTCCTAGATAATAATTGCCGTATGTCTTGACCTTTTCGGCTTGCCTGCAGCGTAACCTCCTCTTCTCTGCAGACACCTTCTGTTTTCTTACCCATCACCTCGGACGTCGTACCCATCATCTCGTACGTCTCACCTATCACCTGTCAGTCGTCATCTGCAACCGTCAGCCTGCAGCCATGGCCTCCTCCTTCGCCCTGGTCCAGTCGTTTGCGCCGGTCCTCCAAGAGCCGATCTGGCAGCAGAAGCACGACCTGGAAGCCTCTGGAGTGGCCAGAATTAAGCTTGCATATGCCCGAGCCCGGAGTCTCATCCAGACAGTCGGTAAGAGCCATCACACATTCCTTTTTCTGCTCGCCAAGAGATATTGACAAAACATATGTAGGAATGACAATCGAGGATGTACGCTTGCTGAAGCCCAAGTTCTGGGACTTTCATCGTCACGGTTAGATCCGATCCCTCACTATCTAATATCACACTTCCTGGACGTTCCGGTGCTCATTCCTTTACCAGCTTTCACCCTCGATTCCGGTGCTTGGACTATCCTGACCATCCACTGGAATCTCTGCATGGGCACAATCAGCCAGTATCTCCCTGAGAGGCCGGACCTGCTGCCCTTGCTCCAGTCTCTGGAGCGATTCGACACATGCGGCGAGTTCCTGCTCACCGAGCTGGGCCACGGCCTGGATGCGAGAAATCTCGAGACCACGGCCACTCGCCAGGCCGATGGCTCCTTTGTGCTCAACACCCCCAACGCCGCCTCAGCCAAGACCATGCCTCCCAGCTCGCCCTTCCTGGGCATGTCCCGCACAGCCATCGTCTTCGCCCGGCTCATCATAGACAACACGGACCGCGGCGTGCGCGGCTTCATCGTGCCCCTCAACGACTCAACCGGCGCCATGGCACCCGGCGTCTCCAGCACCCTCTACCCCAAGCGCGCAGGCGCCAAGGCCATCGACCACTCCTCCACCAGCTTCCACAACGTGATCCTGCCCGCGGGCGCCCTGCTCGGCCCCACGGGCGACTCGTCCAAGGACGAGCGCAACAGCTTCCTGCGCGCCATCCACCGCGTCACCGTCGGCACGCTCTGCCTGTCCACGAGCAACGCCACCGTCCTGCGCGTCTCGGCCTGCGTCGCTGGCAGGTACAGCATCCAGCGGACCGTCGGGGCCCCAAAACCCGTCTCCATCCTCTCCTTCAGCACCCAGCACGGCCCCATCGCGCGGGCCCTCGCCCACGCCGCCGTCTTCGACAGGTACGCTGTCGACTCGCGGCGGCTGTTCATCGAGAACGTCAAGAAGCCTGAAATTCAGAACGTCATTGCAGGAACGTACAAAGCCACAGTCATCGACTACACGCAGAAGATTCTGAGCGAGTTGGTTGACCGGTGTGGCTGGCAGGGTCTGTTCGCGCACAACCAGGTTCGTAGATCCCCTCCCCACCCCCAATTTTCTTTAAGATGAGACGAAATTGAACTAACACTGTCGGTTAGATCTCCGAGGTATGGCTCGCCGAAAAGGGCAACAGCATTGCCGAGGGCGACTACGTAGTCCTCTGCATCCGCCTCGCCAGTGAGATCCTCCTCGGGCGGTACGCACCCCCCAAACCCCGTGATCCCAACTCCCTCCTCGCCCGCCACGAGGCAGGCGTCTGGGACGAAGCGCGCCAAACCGTCGCGGCCATCAAGGGCGGTCACCGCGGCAAGGACTTCAACGCCCGCATCCTGCCCCTCTCCCTGCCGCTGGTCAAGGCCACGGGCCAGCGCATGGCCTACGAGGCCGCCAGGGATGCCGTCGCGAGCGGTGACAGCGAGAATGGCGCCCCCCTGACACAGGAGGTGCTGGACCTGTACGAGTCGGCGTGCCTGCTCGAGGACGAGAGCTGGTACGTGGAGAACGGCCTCCTGACCCGGCGGCAGCTGCGGGAGCGCCAGGTCGACGCGGTCAACGCCGTGCTGCCGCTGCTCGAGGGCATGATCACCGACCCGGCCGTCGACGCTTTCGTCAGCGCGCCGATGGTCGACCAGGGCAGGCTGGCGGCCTTCT